GAACATCATCATCATCATGCTTGCTTTTCTAAAACAAAACTCAAACCAATTTACCAATGCCGACGAGCTAGTTTCAAGCATAGCAGTCAAACCAATTGCCAAACTTTTACCTTTTTATCTGTTTTTCAGCGACCAAATCAACAAAAAGCACGAGTTCATTTAGAATTATAGAATCACCCACTTATTTTGACTGCCTTTCTCTATGTAGAAAACACGCATTGCCAAGCCTAACTTTAACTCTTTTTCAAGCAAATTTGAACTCACGGTCAAAATAACATGTTAAGGTGAAGAAGTTTCACGGAAGCAAGTCCAAGCAAAAGTCAAATAACATATTACAAAATTTTTCCTTATTAATTTTATTACAAAAATGAATCATTTTGTTTTAGTAGTGTTAATAAAAGAACAAAACTTACATAAATTTTTTTACATGAAATTTGTGAAGTATTTTCTTAAAAATAATTTAATAAAAACTTTAATAAAAAAATTTAAATCGAAAAATTTTTTACATGAAATTTGTGAAATGTTTTCTTAAAAATAATTTAATAAAAAAATTTAAATTGATAGAGTTCAATATAAAAATTAATAATATATAAAAAAATTATTTATAATTCAAATTTAATTTATATTTATTTAATAATAAATATTCTATTAATATTTTTATTAATTAAAATGTTTATCTTAAAATATATATCAAACTTTATTAAAAGAAATTTTAATTTTACATACTTAATTTATATAATAAAAATTTTTAATTTATTAATTTTAATTTTTATTTAATTATTTTTAATAAAAAAATTTTACGAACTTAACTTAAAAATTTTCGTCAAAATCATTTTCTTAATGAAAGTGGAGACAAAAGTCGCGTGTCACGTACGATCCAGTGAAACCAGATTGACCGTGAAGCAATATAAACTGCCGGAGCCAACACGAACCAAAAGTGCGCAAATTCATAGTGGGATAAAAAGAAATATTTAGTACGTTGGCCTCGTTCCGCATTTGCACCGCGTGAAAACCGCAAATAAGAAGCATCCTTGACGCCCGGAAGGCGCCATTGCTCCGTGAAAACGTTTCACGTGCAAACTTGTATGCCAAATCATTGGTGAAAGCATAGAGTAATAGACTTTTGACTTGAAAACCATTAGGCTACCAATTGCCGGTTCTCACTTTCCTCTCTTCTTCCTTACTTCCACGTTTGCTCCACTCTTCCTTCTGTACTATTCTCTTTTGACTACAAACACTATTTATAAATTATTTTTAAAATATGTTTTAAACTCTTGCTAGTGCAAGTGACTTTTTCTTTTAACACGTGGAATCTCTAAATATTTGAATTCATTATGATATAAAATACAAAATAAAAATAAATATTTGGAATAAGACAGATTATTTGTGTGAATTCTATATATCCATTTATCATTATTAATTTTTTTTATTTTTTTTATATAAAAGGAGTTGTAGTTATGGAATCTTAATCTTAGTGAGTTGTACTTATTGTACGGCCCCTTTTTTCCAACTTGCATAAAAAACATTAACTTAGCGTAAGACATAGAGGCTGAGCTCCCGAATTTCTCTCGCATTTTTTGTCTCTTCATTATTGATTGGTATAATAAAATGAAAAAAAATAAAATGAAATAGGAATTGTGGTATTTGGTTAAAAAATTAAACATGTTACCTTAAATTCACACATGGTATAAACAAAATCATTTAATCAAATAATTTTTTATGTTAACCATTCATACATATTAATGCTCATAATATTTCATCCAAAAAGATAAATTACATTTAATTATGTTTTATGTTAATAATTGAAGCAGAACAGTTAATGTGATATACCTAGATATTAAGAGTGTCGGTTCATAATATTTAATTTAATTGATTCATGTTATCATATTTCAAAATAAAATTCAGTAGATTTAAAATTTAATACTTGTAATTTATTTTTTTATTTATAAACTTATGACCTCATTTATAAAAAAAAAAAAGAAAGAAAGTGGTAGTTCACTTTTAATTATGTATGATAAAAAAAAAGAAAGTCAAATCTCGATGCACAATATTCCTTACTTTGCTAGGTTTAAAATAAGAATTTATAATACGCAACATTCTTTTTACATTTTAACAAAAAAGTTGTTTTCAAAATTTGAACTCATAATCTTTCAATCATAAATAACCAATCTTACCATTACTCTAAGGCTCACCATTTTAATTATGTATGATAAGTAAAGTGAAAATTTATAATCAAATTAAGACGTACAATGTTAACATAATTAATTTGATTAGGAATTGGATAGTGTTGCCTTATGAGTGGTCCCACGTGCCACATAAGGTTTCAACAAATAAAAGGAAAAATTAAAAAGCCTCTTACACCTGTGTATCGCCTTACTTCTCCTTTTGGACAGTCGATAAAAGGTCATTTTCGCCAAAGCGAATTTTTCCATTAAAACAAAAACAAAAGAGGCCAAATGCTTGGCTCTTCTCTCTTTGCCCAATCAAAAATTCATCTCCATGATCTCCAACTTGATTCTTGAAGGGTTGAATTCTTTTCTTTTCTTTTCTTTTTTTTTAATAACTAGAGATTAGAAAAAAAAAAAATTTTTTTAGAATGCCTTCAAATTTTTATACAAATCAAATACTCTTTAAAATCAGCAAGAAAATCATGATGTTGTCATTTTATATTGATTTTTTAATACCAAATAAATTTAGTGATTCGTATATTTATTTTGTATCAAATTTATGTAAAATATGAAAATCAATTTATTATATTTTATGTTGACACATTAAATATTAAATATTTTTTATTTTTTTCAAACTTATAAATTTATTGTCAAAATATTAAATTATCGCTTTTATACTTTTATATTTAAAATTTTTATTATATTATCGTATCATATCTAAAATTATTAATTCTACATCAAATCTACAATAATTAATTATATTTAGGTGATAAAATTTTGAATTATCTTAGCAACTGTCTATATTTTTTCTCTTTCTATTTTAATAGTATTAGGGAACATTATTCCACAATTTGTGTCGTGTTATTCCTGTTTTTTTTTTTTTTTTTATCAATGCTTCATGAATAAGTCATCCCAATAAAAAACAATTGCAAATAATAAAAAATAATAATAATAACGCATTTCACAAGGGGAAATAATCAAATAGTAAAAGAAAATCAATAAATATATGGTGGCCTTCATACAAGCATCCATTTCTTTTTTTTATTCCTATTTTCTTTTCGATACTTACTTTTCAATGGAAGGCTAAAGATAATGTAATGTGGGCTAATCCATGTTATTAACAATTTTATATGAGATTCTGACAGTTATTAACAATCTTCCTGATGTGTATATATATATTTTTTGGCCAAATATTTTATGATCTTTATGGCACATTCATAAAAGAACATAACCTTTCTCGAAGTACCCTTTTTTATAATTGACTTATTATTGCAACAAAGTGTATAGTTTTGGTACTTGCATTGAAACTTTCAATGTATTTATTGAAAAATTTTTAATTTTGTTCTTGTGAAAGTGATGTTAATGTTGATTAAACTAGTAAAACCAAGACAACAGTCCACATCACCTGATTTCTTGTTTCCATTCCTTTACAACTTTGAGACAAGAATTTTTAGGATGTTTTGTGTTGGTTAGGTTAACTTGATTCTCTTTATTTAAAATTGTTAAAATTTAATATTTAATAATTAAAATTAAAATTTTAATATTCTATTAATAGATTACAGAATTATTGATTACTTAATCTTATTTATTGTCTATTAACTCTAAAAAAATTATAAAATGCTAAGATAAATTTTTTTAATAAAAAATCATAATTTAAAAATAAAAAAATTATAAATATTAAAATTTAAATTTCGAATTATTAAATATCATTTATTAAAATTGATTGTATAATTTAATTGAACTAAATTTTGAATTAAAAACATATTATATTTTTCTTTCAAATAATTAAAGTACAAGTTAAATTTGATTAACTAACGGTGGAAGCTATTTCCAACTAAATGAAAATGTTACCAACTAAATTATTATTGAACTTTAGAATGGTACGTCTTTTAATGCATGTCTTCAACTTTATTTGTTCTTCTAATTAAATCAAAGCAAAAAGAAAAGAAGTTAAAGAAAAATAGATGGAATGAATGGCACGTGATTGTCACTCTATTTGTTTTGGCATGAACTTAAATAAAGCTATTTCTCTTTTTATCCTCTTTAAGTATATTATTCTGTTATTGATCAATTTTAATTGATTTATATAATTATTTTAAAAATATTATAATTAATAAATTCAAATTTTAAAATCGTTACATACCATTCTTTCTTTTATATTTTTTCAATAAATAAATTAATTATAAACAAACTTTTGTATTCATTACTTATTTATTTAATAAATTATAAAATATTATTTATAATTATTCATTAAATTCAGTAATAAATAAAAATTAACTATATTCACAAATTATTCATTAAATATTCTAATCATTTATATTTTTTAATTCTCGTATTAATCATTTGGGCTATTTGGCAAAAAAAAAAAAAAGGGGGTGCAATAACTATAGGCATTTGTCTCACGTGCCGGCAGCCCATCGTTATCGAGGGCCAACAATTTTACCCGAAAGCAGCCTCGTGGTTGTGTGACGCGTAGACGGCTTTTTCACCCCGTGCTCCTCTGACATGGCGCTCACCGAAACCCACATGCCTGCCTCGTTTCATGCCATGTCTACGTGTTGTGGCCCCCACCTTGTCTCCTCCAAGCACTACATTTCGGTAGGCAAATAAATAAAAACTTTCTATACCTTTTTGCCTTTTTTTTCAATTGTCAATAAAAATGTGTATTTAGTTTTTTTTATTTCTTTTTTACCTTTTCCACGACTTCTCCGTAAAAGTCCGTCAACCTCCTTCCAAGCTACGACCTTTTGTAGGTCCCACATCGATATGGCAAATGACGTGGCGCTTCACTTTCAAGTTCTGGCCTTCCCTATTTAAACCCCCTTGAACCTTCCCAGGCACATCACAGTTCACCCTCTTGGCTCTCCCTCCTAACATCCACACTGCCCTTTTCACTTTTTTTTTTTCCTTTCATCATAATTCCAACGCTTTAAATTTCGTTCCTCTTATCAAGTTTGATAAAATCTCCCATTTGAAATGGCTGTTGATTCTGCTCTCTCATCTCCGCTGGGTCCACCAGCATGCGAGAAAGATGCAAAAGCTTTGCAATTCATCGAGGAAATGACTCGAAATGCCGATTCTGTTCAAGAAAGAGTTCTGACAGAAATCTTAAGCCGAAACTCCCAAACTGAGTATCTTAGAAGGTTCAAACTCAATGGTGCAACCGACCGAGACACTTTCAAGTCCAAACTTCCAGTGATTACTTACGAGGACCTTCAGCCTGAAATCCAGCGTATTGCTAATGGTGACCGCTCTGCCATTTTATCAGCCCACCCCATCTCAGAATTTCTCACCAGGTTAGTATATGATATGAACTATACTTTGTCTAACCTCAAGGACAAAAAAAAAGAAAGTGGGATCTGTAATATATATATATATATATATATATTGATGCTGATGTTTGAATTTCCTGGAAAACTTTGCAGCTCCGGGACTTCAGCTGGTGAGAGGAAACTCATGCCAACAATTAAAGAAGAGCTAGATCGCCGTCAATTGCTCTACAGTTTGCTCATGCCAGTAATGAATCTGTAAGTATTTTAAAAATGATAGGCTATACATATTGTAGTAATTAGCTTGTGTATTCAGTATTCTTTCTTTCTTTAATTAATGGAACTCGCTTTCTGTGTAACAGTTATGTGTCAGGTTTGGACAAAGGCAAGGGACTATACTTCTTGTTTGTGAAATCAGAAACGAGGACTCCAGGTGGTCTCTTGGCTCGCCCTGTGCTTACCAGCTACTACAAGAGTGACCATTTCAAGACACGACCATATGACCCTTATAATGTTTACACCAGCCCCAATGAAGCCATCCTCTGTCCCGACTCCTTCCAGAGCATGTACACCCAGATGCTCTGCGGTCTCCAGGAACGCCAACAAGTTCTCCGCGTTGGCGCGGTGTTTGCCTCAGGTCTACTCCGCGCAATCAGGTTCCTTCAGCTGAATTGGCAACAACTCACTTACGATATCGAAACAGGTGCCTTGAATCAAAAAATCACCGACCCTTCACTAAGGGAATGCATGGCTAAGATCCTGAAACCCAACCCTGCGCTTGCTGAGTTTGTTCGCCAAGAATGTTCAAAGGACAGCTGGGAGGGAATCATTACAAGAATTTGGCCCAACACAAAATACCTTGATGTTATAGTAACTGGAGCTATGGCACAGTATATCCCAACCCTTGATTATTACAGCGGTGGTTTACCTTTAGCATGCACCATGTACGCTTCATCCGAATGTTATTTTGGTTTGAACCTTAACCCCATGTGCAAACCATCGGAAGTTTCTTATACCATCATGCCAAACATGGCACACTTTGAGTTCTTACCCCACGAGCCTAACTCAGCTGGTTTCACTCGTGACTCGCCTCCTAAACTCGTTGACCTTGTGGATGTGGAGGTTGGGAAAGAATATGAGCTTGTGATCACAACCTATGCAGGATTATGCAGATACAGAGTCGGTGACATTCTCCGAGTCAGTGGATTCCACAACTCGGCCCCGCAATTCCATTTCGTAAGGAGAAAGAACGTGTTACTCAGCATTGACTCAGACAAAACCGACGAGGCCGAGTTACAAAAGGCAGTTGAAAACGCTTCTCAACTCTTGCGCGGGTTCAACACCAATGTCGTTGAATACACGAGTTACGCAGACACGAAAACAATTCCAGGTCACTACGTGATATACTGGGAATTGTTAGTGAAAGACTCCGGTAACTCACCTAGCGATGAGGTCCTGAACCAGTGTTGTTTAGCAATGGAGGAGTCCCTAAACTCAGTGTACCGGCAAGGCCGAGTTGCGGATAACTCAATAGGCCCACTAGAAATCCGCGTGGTAAAAAGTGGCACATTTGAAGAGTTAATGGATTACGCCATATCAAGAGGAGCGTCCATCAATCAGTATAAGGTTCCAAGGTGTGTGAACTTCACACCAATCATGGAGTTGCTCGATTCTAGGGTGGTATCGGCGCATTTCAGCCCAGTTTTGCCACACTGGAACCCAGAAAGGAGAAGGTGATTTACTGATTCATTTAGGTAACGACCAGAGATCAAATCAATGAGATGATTATATTTGTAGATTCTCTTTGTTTTCATTTTTTAATCTACTTGAGTTTTATTTTTTTCCTCCGTTTTGGAGTAGCTTTTGGTGAAAGATAAAAGTGTAAGTTGATTAGGATGTTTCAAGATCAGGTTTGTATTTTGATTCAAAGGATGTGAATTGACGCTGATGGCTGTCCACTGAATTGTTTCTTTCATGTAATGGAGCAGATAAGGTTTGATCTTTTGCACATGTTGATCTTTCTGTCTATAATATCCTTCGTCGTTGTCTTTTGTTTCCACTTTCCAACCCTTGTTTTCTTTGTTTCCAATGCCAATGAAATTGGTTTCGGTCAATGCTGAAAATGAGATTAATTATTATAATAATAAATTAAAATTAATAATAAAATAGAAATGATAGTGTAAAGTGAGAATGAAAATATTATTTAAAATATTATTTATAGTATTTATTCTAAAAATATATTAATAAATTATTTTTATATATTTTAATGTTGTTTATAAAATTTTAAAAATTTTATTTAATAAAAATTATTTAATATATTTTATTTATTATTAAAAAAATGAAGAAACAAAAAAAAAATGAAAGGTCAAAATGATAGGGATATTTTTATCAAGTCACTACACCTTTAAGAGTAAAAGAGAAAAAAAAAAAAAACAAAACCAAGGCAAAATTAGAAGAAAACTGCGTTGAAGATAAGAGATATCGGACTGAAACTCCTAATTCCAGTGAAAAATTGAAGGCCTCCGAAACTTGTTAGTGATATCCAAACACCAAATTAGCACGATTTAAACCAAAAAATAATGCAAATCGTATCTCAACAACACCAATCGGAGATCCAAATGTGGCCTTAGACTTTTCGTTTTCCACAGCAGGAAAGAGAGATAAGGAATGGTGGCGAAGTACACAAAGTCAAATTGGAATTGAGAATGTGAGATAAAAAGCATTACAGCGTTAGGTGAATGACTTTCACATCAAAGCTTCTTGTAATTGGACGGCATTTTGGAAGTCAAGGTGAAAAAGGTTTGCCAATCACTTCATCTTCTTAAAAGTTCGGGATAATTTGACACCTTTTGGAATGAAAGTGGCTTCAGCAATTACTGATGCAGACACTTCCCGACATAAACACTTTTTTGATAATTCACTTTGTTTGGCTTATCCCTGTGAATTATCTGGATTGTCTCCAACCACCCTCCTGTAATGGCATGATATGGATGTAAATTCACTGAATTAGAAACAGCAAGTAAATTTCAACACTGGCAATAATGAAAGAAAATAATTTTCTTTCCAAAATTTTCCTTCCTTTAAGTTAATAAGGCAATGTCCTTTGATCAACTTAAGTTTCCATGGAGAAATAGAAAAAAACCCTTAAGTTTTCAGATGATCAATCCATTTAAAAGTATTGGTCCCTGTTAAACATGCTTCACCATTTAGATATCACGTCTAAAAAGGAAAGATCTTAACAAATTAATTAAGTAATCCATCTAACCTGCCTGGCAAGAATTTTCAGGACCTACTGCTTCAAATCTGATTGACAGTTAGTGAGTTTCAATAACTAATGGCTGATGACCTGTTTCTCTGTTCAAGGAGTTGCTTTAGAGACGCATTAAGTAAGCTTGCCGGGTGTGGTTTCAGGCCAGAGCAACCAGAAACATAAAGAAACAGCCCATTAATTGTCTATCCGAACACCAAAGATTGCTGGCACTGGGGACCAATGCCAACCTATCCTGAAAGGAGCCAGCCAAGCTTGAACCTAACTCCAATTTATACCCAAGCTAGCATCCCTTTTATTCCCTTTAAACATCCTTGGTCTATGTAAAAGCAGCATACATATATATACACACACCATCTTAAAGCTTGATTGAAAAAAAAATGCAATCAGTGCATGATTCTGTTATTATCAGATTAATAATTCTGCTAGTGCAGTTGCAGAGGTCATTCCCAATTCTGGTTTTTGTTACATCCTTTAAATCCTCGGGAGTGGGATCCAGATTGTCAAATACTTTCCTCTTGTTTTACTGGGTAACTGGGATGTTCATCATCCAAAACAGGGCACATGTAAAACATATAGCACAAAGGAGAAATCATTGCGGAAGAAAGTTAAAGTGCTAAATTATAATAAATCACGGACAGGTCTGTTCTGGAAGTGAACAGTTATTGGATAATGGCAGGAAAGCTCGACATAAACATGTATTTGAAGGAGTGGGGCATGGCACTTTCTCAGCCATCATATGTTTGCTTGAATCGTACCACCTCTTATCGGGGGATGATGTGCAAATACACTAGGACATCTAGCTTAGTTATAATATTTCTTCTCATGAAACCAACCTTGAAGAAGCCCGTAAAAGAAAGCCTTTAATTTGTGAAAGGATTAAGTTTCGGATTTCATATTTTACTATAATTATTTGTTTTATGATTTAAGATTATGATTTAACTATCATTTATCAGCGCATTCCTAAGCAATGAGATAAAGTTTGACATAGTTGACAAATCCAGATATTATTTGCATGTGACAAGTGTTGTACCTTTTGGCTTATTGTTGTGTGTGTATATATTTTTCACTTACCACTACTGTCTTTCATGAAAATAGACCAACAAATATATAGTGCATATAGTTGTTCTTGATTTCACAAATGCAAAGCATATCTTAGGGTGGAAAGTGATTCAGCCAAACAAATTTTTTTTAGAGAAAAAAAAATTATAATAGCACAAAAGACAAAAGTACTCATCTATGAATTAGAACGAAATATTTAAATTTATCAAGTTTTTTAGTCTTTTCTTTCTATTTTGAGATTAATATCAAATTTATCATTATACTTTAATTTTATTAACATTTATCATTAAATTTGTTATTTTATTTTTATTAAAAATAACAAAATAAAATATGTTTGATATAATATTATAATTTCGATGTTTTTTCAAAAATCAAAACCATTGAAAATATAATAACAAAGCTTAATGAAATTAAAGAAATAATATTAAGTCATCGATAAATTTGACTTGAATTCTTCTTTTATCAAAATTTAAAATTTTACTATTTGTATGGAAAAAACATATTATTTTTTATATTTGAAAAGAAAAGATAAAAGATAAATAAAAGCCACGCCAGCTGCGTAATGTGACTGTGTTGGCAGGGTGACGGTGTCACGTTACGTCTAACGTTTAAGGGATCCTTGGACTTTTCCCCCTTTGTTTCCTTCCTCTAAACAATTGCGGCCACCGTTGCTGCTGGAGGAAAAGGAAAAACGAACTTAATTGGCGGAGAGAAGAGAGGAGGAGGGCCGACAGTAGCGGTGGCAAAATTCAACTATATGGCCACCCTTCTTTCCTCTCATCTCCCTCCTCCTTCCTTTTCTCCTCAATAACGCTCAATTTCAAAATCCTTTCTCCTTCCTTCTTCTCTCTCGTCTTCGAACCCTCGAAAATTCCCCAAAAATTCTCTCCTTGCTTTCTCTTCCAATAATTTCGATGCCTCTTCTTTTCATGATGCCTTCGGTTCCAATCCTACTCCCTCTAAGGTAAGATTTTCCGAATCCGTTTTGATTTTGGAAAGTTACTTTTATTATGAATTTGAAGTTGTGAGAAATTGGCAAATCGCTAAATTTAGATTGGAATTGCTCATTTTAGCTAAAGTATTTCTTTTTTTCTCAGCTGGTAATGCATCGTGGATGGATTTGTTTTTTTAAAAAAATGCATTTCGATATTGTTGAACTTGTTAGGATTGCAAATTGGGGTGAATTGCAGCTTGTTGACGAGAAAATTTTATGTTTAGATTCAATTGAATTGTTTTAGGATTATTTAAGATTATCATTTCATTGTTGAGAAAATTTGGGAAATTGTGCAAATTGGTGGTACCAAATTTTAGGGTTTTACATATAGGAAGGGGAAAAACAGTGTTCCTCTTGAGAACTGAAACCATGTAATATTACACTTCAGCCGTTTTCGTAAATTACAATAATTTAAGTTCTGCCTTTTTGTTTTCTCTACTCTGTATGTTCGATGCTTATGTGTTGTTACAGATTAATGATATAGATGTAAATTATGTTTTTCTAATTAGATGAGAAATCTTTCAAGTTACATCCTTTTTAACTTTTTTCTTGAGAATGTTGTCTGAGAAGAATAAAAACCTCATTATGGACTACAGTCTGGGAGGCGATTTCTTTCCTAGAGTCTACAAGCATTTCCACGTTGATGTTCTATTGGAGTCTGCTTCAATTTTTCTACACAAATGTGATATCATTGAACCTAACTAACGAGTACTTTGGGGGACATACACATGCCTTATGTTTAACACATCCACTAAAAAATTAAAACAAATGCCAACTCAAAGTGGTGGGTTATTTATGTGAACCACTCTTTGCAAAGGGATGGCTTAAGAAGTCAATGAGACTTGGAGGATAAGCTGGGATGTTGACTCTCTTGTTTGCCTTTCACATGAGAAGGCACCCATTTGTTTTCCTTGCCCATGTGTTTCAGTCAATTTCAATTAAAATGACCAATAAAATTGAGCTGTTGTTCATTTATGATAAATCCTAATATTTACTATATTTGACAAAGATAGGCAATGCTTCTTTATAGTGTTTGAATTTTAAGTGTATATGTACTATTTTCAAAGTGCTTTTTCGGTAATGATTTAGAAATTGACTTTTTAGCATTTTCTTTCAGAAAGCAGCCCCTACCAATCTGATACAGGAGATAGAACCATTGGATGTTAGCCTTATCCAAAAAGATGTCCCCCCACAACTGTGGACGCCATGAAAAGGACTATTTAAGGCATGTTGGGTTTACTTCCATCTGATAGGTTTCGAGTCTTTATTGAGGCATTACAGGAACCTCTCTCCAAGTTGTTGTTTTCTTCTATGATGACTGGGTATGTTCATAGTCTGTTTGATATGCTCCATTGTAGTAAATGTTTCTATACTCCGGTTGGCTGCCAAGAGGGTGAAACCTATGCTAGGGGCTATAAATCTCTCTTCTTGTTTTGATAGTTTCAATGCTTGTTGGACATACTTATTAACCACATTATGTTCTCTATTTATCTCTCTTTGGCAAAAGGGGTTGATATCAATTAACATTTGTTGGGGAGAAAAGTGAAATCTTGAGCCCATGTAGGGCATGCCAAAAATGGCTGAATATATGTATGTTTGGCACCAGTTGGACTCAAAAGCAGAAGCTAATGCGGTTTTATATCCTCGATGTATATATTTCATATTGACATCCCTTTCTTCTTAATGTGGCACAATCACTTTTGCATATGAATCTTAAGGACCTTCGCTTTTATTATTGATACTGAGATCATAAGTTTAAATGTTTGATGTAGCATGAGACATGCAGAGTAGCATTTACCTCCAATAGATATTTGTTAGAATATTGGGAGTGTCGTGAATAATAGTTCTTCTCGAGTTGCAGTTATACATTGAGGAATGCTAAATATAGGCTTTGCCTTGAATGAAACCTTGGTTGTGAAGGAGATTTGGAAAATAAAAAATCGAACTTTAATTTACAAGGGATGTTGTAGGACAGTACAAAAAGAAATGAATTTTCAGAGATTTATCCTCTGATTTTGAAAAAGCCACTGAAGACCAATAAGAAGATATTGACTTTCTAGGCCTGGGTGAAATGTCCCTGGAAACTCGTAAATACATCATTCATTTGAAGTCTTGTCTAATTTCAGTGAAAAAGGTGTGCTACAGCATATTGAGGAGCCTCCCATGGTCCTTTTTTTTTCTTTCAATCCATAAACTGTTTAATTAAATATATTGATTAGAGAAAGTTATCTTTATGTTTTATGTGTGAGTTTGATTAATTATAAACATGTCATAGTTTGCACCAGTTTGAAGCATTCAAAAGATACTAGAAAGACCTAAAAAATGCCATTGTCTCTTATTCAATGTGGCCCTAAACAAAAGTGAACCTCTCTCTCACTCTCTTTAGTTCTTCCTTTGGCTGGTATGATATCAATATTGCTGATATTTAGTAAACATGCTCCTTTGAAAGCCTATGTTTTTCCTTGGAGATAGGATATTAAGTGAACTTGCTTTGTCATGCATTCCAAATTGTTGGTATTGGCATTATGAAAGAATTTAGATATGTGGAGAAAGAAGAACTATCTAGAAATAATTAAGTTATATTTTACACATGCCAATCTTATCAACTGAATGCATTAATCGATGCAAACATATGAGGCAACAGAAAACTTAATTTGAGATATTTAATGTGTCTTTCTTCTAACATAATTATCACAGTTGTATATTTTTAGAGTTAGCCCCCATAAAAGAATTGGCAAGAGAGGAGAATTTATGGCTTTTCAAAGTCCACATTCCATGAGAGGAATTTTCCATGGTTGATGAGGATTAGATATTAACGGTTGCATCATACATTCATACTGTATCAAAAGAATGAACCTTCTCAAATTGGTGAACATCTCATTTTCCTTTTCATTTATCTGAACTTATCATATATTTTTGCTTTTCAATTTCACCAAATCCTAATCTGCAATTTGGTGGGATACATCATACATGCTCATATTTCCCTTTTTTTCCCCTATTGAAGGAACTTGGTGAAGTCAAGAGGAAAAGTGGTGCTCTGCAAATGCAACAGTTTGTTGGGGAAGAAGAGAATGATTTACTTGACTGCTTAAGATGACTATAACCAGAAAAGGTTTCCCTTGATTCAAAAACTTTCTAAGCCAAATTGATGTACTAATATCCCATTAACACGATGCTATGAATGTAATATCTCCTTATGATTATACGATTTATGTTCTTTGCTTTTTTCTCCATTAATACTGAGGGAAGATTGAACTGATTAAAAGAGCATTTGCAATGTCATAATTTCATGCCCCCAGTTGTATAGGAATGAGGTGCAGATTTTGGTTTGAAAGGGTACTTCTGCTTAGTGCAAATTGCTTGATTTAGCAATTTTAATCTAAATTGGTATTTATGTACTAGTGCAGAAAAATGCTTAACCTGTCACATGAAACTGTTTCTTTAGCAGTGAACTTCAGTAAAATCTTATATCGTCACGGCTAATAAAATTGTAGCATAAATTTCGGGTAGCCGAGCTTTCCGAACCAACATCTCCTGAATTGAAAGAAACAACCCACTAAGTAGTCCATGGTCTCCCTGCCACCCTTTCTACGAGGATGCATTCCAAGGTTCCTCCTTTGTCAGAGAACACCACAACTGGAACTGTAAATATTGGGAGTGAAGATTGTGCAGAACTTTGTTGAGAATACTTCACTTTCATTTCATTAACGCGGGACTATCTTGCTTGTCTTCTCTTCTTACTAGGTGTTAGAAATTTATGGTATTTTTCTTGGTTGTAGCAAGTTGTTAATTAGATATGGTTTGAAATAATAAGGTTTTCAATTTTCAAATATATAGGAATCCTAGAAAAAAAGATTATATGGAATATATTATTCTAATTTACATAGGTAAAGCAAATCTTTTAAGCATTAAAGAGTCTTTCATGCAAGTCATAAATTATATTAAAGAGATTGTCAGCTTGAGATTAACAGAATTGAAGTATATTCCAACAAATCAAGTTAACATAAATCCTTGTAGATTATTATTTTTTATTTATGATTCTTGTATTTTAACCACATATATATATTTTTTATTTATGATTCTTTCTATCTTTAACCACATTGGCTAGCACAATCTTGATGTAGCAGTATTTCTAATTTTTTGGATAAATAAAATCTTTTTATTTATAAAAAAAATGTTTCAAACATTAACTAATGACTAAAATATTCTGTAAAAAATATTAACTAATAACAATATGAAAATATTTTAAAATTAATCCATATGTTTTTCAAAATCTAAAACAAAAAGTTCGTGTCTTAGTTGTCCAAATATTGGATCATAATATATAAATATACAAATATATATGTATATATATATATATATACATACACACGCATATAATTATATATATTTGAGATCAATTTACATCAATAAAAAATTAAAAAAATTTATATTTTTTTAACTATTAATTTTAATAAATTCAACAAATAAAATTAAACTATTTTTTCTCGTTGTGATTTGTTTTTTCATCTTTTAAATCTATTAATATTAATGATTAAAAAAAGATGTATAATTTTTTAATTTTATGTTAATATAAGTTGATATATATATATATATAGAGAGAGAGAGAGAGAGAGTATGGGGAGTAAATTAATTAATGTGTCAGTTTTCTTGTTTATCAAACCTTACCAACTTAATGAATTTTTAAGCTTTGAATATTTAGTGGAATAATGATTAATTAATTATGAATAGCGAAATCGAGGGATTAAATGCCCGAAATTTGAATATAGTTTTAATAACAAATATATTTTTTACGTCAACAAATTAATTAACGTATGTTTCGTTGTTTGATACAAACACTGCTTGTTACCTTTCTCTCTCTCTCTAGTTGCACTCTTTTCTTAAAACCCTTTTGTTCCCCAAGCTTCAAACCGACTTAAGCACCTTTAAACCCTACAAATTTTACAAATCTTTTCCTTGCTTTTTCCTCTACCCATGGAGAGAAGAGAAACAGAAGATTTTCGATGGCCTTTCATGGCCAACCCCACTCTGCAAAACCGCCAGGTTTCCTCCCCAAATCATCGTTTTCAAATCAATGGTTCCCATGTTTCTACTAACCCTAATTTTTATCAAAACAATGATCTCTTTCAAAACCCTGGTAGTTCTTATCAGACCCTTCCACAAACTTCTCGATCAGTCCATGAATACCTTGAAGATTCTTTTAGTCGAATGAATCTGAATGTTTCTTCTAATAATGATTCCTCTCCATTGAATTTTCGCAATCTTCCTTCACAAAAGATGAGGGTTGAGTCTGCTGTGAGGGGACTAATGGGGTTGAATCATGAGAGTTTCGGTGGCCATTCAAACTCAACGAGGTCTCTTGGAAGTCAAAATATAGTGGGAGGAGCCATGACTCGATCTGCAAATTTTCCCAGCACTCCTATGGCCAATGACTTCGGCTTCAACTTACAACGTAGGAGTCAGTCTTTTGAAGGATTGGATTACGCATGTTCACGTAGACTGATCAACAATTCTGATCTTCAATCTTGTTGGGGGAACACATGGGCCGTCAATGGTTTGGAATCTGAAAAATCTGCTTCTAATTTGCTGTCTTCCATGTATAATCATCCGGGGGTTTATCCCCAACAGCGTTCGAAATATCCCTCATTGGAGGACTTAAAAGGACATGTATCCTCAGTGGCAAAAGATCAAAACGGTTGCCGTTTCTTGCAGAAGAAATTTGATCATGAAACAATAAGGCGTGAAGAGATTGAAATTATTTTCTTGGAGGTGAAAGATAATTTGCATGAACTAATGGTTCACCAGTTCGCTAATTATCTTATTCAGAAACTCTTCGAAGCCGGCAATCAAGAACATAGGACTCGACTACTTCACTTTCTCGTTCATAGCGAACAAAGGTTCCTGAAGGTTTGCACTGATGTGCACGGGTAAGATTATATATATATATATATATATATATATATTTCAGTTTTGATTATAGGTTTTTTTTTTTCTTTTTCTTTGATGGTCGAATATATATTTCAGGACTCGGGCGGTTCAGAAATTTATGGAGCGAATCTCTACCCAAGAACAAAGATCTATTCTTCTGTCAGTGTTGAAGCCTATTGCTGTTACCTTGACAAACGATATCCATGGTCATCATATAATCGAACAGTGTTTCAATAAATTCTCAAATGAAGATACAAAGGTATAATATACTACTATAAAAGATTGCCTCTTCTTTATCCCTATAGTTTTGGTGTGAATATATTATTCATATATAATTACTAGTGTGTTCAATTCCATTTGCTGATCTTACATACTGATCAATCATGCATAATATATAGTAGTATATTTTATAATATAATTAGATAGATAATCTTTTGCTTTTGCTTTTGATTTTGTTTCAATCATATATATAAGGAGCACTTTTGCTTTAGACACCTCTTTCCTTTACACAAGAGAACTTTAAAGGCTATATTATATAGATGGTGTTTACTTTAATGTTAGCAAATATGGAACTTGGAAATTAATATTACTATATAAATATTGATGGTATTTATTATCAAAGTATCCTTAACGAACTGCCTGTCATTTATATATAGGTGACAATTATATAAGCATGTATTCTCAAGCATTCATTTTCTTGTCAACATCTCCTATATTAACATTAACTGTGTTACAAGCATTTTACTGATACTTTGAGTGAGGCCAATTCAGTCACTCATATATCCATGCCTTTCAAAAAAGACTATATTATTAGCAAATGAGAAACGTAGATTCTTCAGCATATGCTTTTTCAGCTTTTTCTTTTTCATGGAGGAAAGGTTAGTGACTGCATTAGGATAATTCGAACAGTCTGAGATTCCATTACACATTATATATTTTTGAAAATCCTGCCTATTGAAACTCCTTTAATTGTTATTGGTCAGTTTTTTTGGGGTAAAAGTAGTTTTTAGTAGCTTTTAGATGATTTAAATCGCTTTGAAAAACAAGTAATGGTGGGTGCATCAGCAACAAGTAAGTGCATGGTTAAATCCACATCATTTTATGTTAAGATTTCATGTACTGAATAGTAAGTAACATGCATGATCAATCTATAAAAATGAAAAGAGAAAAGATTATAGTAATTATAGAATCATTAATATTAATCTCTCTTTGTTCAAAACAGTTCATTAACTCAACCAACTTCGACTAATTATAAAAAAAAAAAAAAAATTCTACATCTCGCATGACATTCCGCAAATGATAAAAAATTATTATGTCTTTCTTAAATCATAAAAGGGTTTCATGCGTGTACCATTTAGAGCAAAGGATTTTATTCATAGATTTTCTGAACAAACATTCTTCTGTGGCAGCTTCTTGTGGATGAAATTGTAGAACACTGTCTTGACATTGCAACTGACAAAAGCGGCTGTTGTGTATTGCAACAATGCTTGGACCATGCCAAAGCAGAAGCTAGGAAGCGTTTGCTGGCTGAAATTACAGCTAATGCCTTTGTTCTTTCTGAGCATCCCTACGGGTTTGTTTTTCTAAATCCTCTTCTATTTAAAACAGTCTATTATTAGCCAACAACCTCTTGACCGAGTCGTTAAAGAAAGAGTCGTGCCATGTTATAATGCTTAGATTCGAGTCCAAGCAACCTCAACCCCTACCCCCAATATAAAAAAAACAGTATGTTATTAAGAAATGTATTAATTCCTTTAATGAAGGATAGTTAATAGTTGTATCACAATATCAACAAATTTGGGTGATAATTAAACCATTTTTATATCACATGGGTAATCGCATAACTACACTAATCATAATTACTAAGAATAATTTTTTTCATAACTGGAGTAAACAGATTTATGTCGTTAAGTACTATTTACATTTTTACTTTCCAGGAACTATGTTGTGCAATATGTACTTGGAATGAGAGTACCCCATGTTACATCAAACATAATAGTGCACCTTGGAGGGAGTTATGTTACTCTTTCCATGAATAAGTATGGCAGCAATGTGGTTGAGAAATGTTTGAAAGATGCTGGGGAAGGGCATTCTGCAAGGATTATCACAGAGATTATGCATGATCCAGACTTCTTAAAGGTTCTTCAGGACCCCTACGGGAACTATGTTGTTCAATCAGCCTTGCATGTTTCTAAGGTTATACTTTTCCAATCTTCATTTCATGGTTTTTCAGATGCATAGTCTCCAATATCTGCTGCCCTTAAAAACAACTTGGACTTAACAATTGAGCTTTTGCTTCTTTTCATTGACGAGCTCTCTGATCTTTTTTCTTATTATTCTGTTTTCTTTAATTTCTTAATTGAAAGCAGGGAGATCTCCACAATACTCTTGTTGAATTCATCCAACGTCATTATCCATTTCTCCACAGCCATCTATTTGGGAAAAAGGTGTTGGCTCGAACCAAATGGCGCAAGAACCGTGTATAAACAATTATTGTACGCTGTAAGAAGAGAAGCAAAATGAAACTGCTCTATGTCTGTGTCTCATACTTCGCTGTTCTTCACCACCAGGGCTTCGTTTATATCATAATGTTGTCACTTGTCAGGATATTTCTAGGTTTGGAATTAATAATAACCATATGGTTTTTAATTAGTTTGCTATAGTCGTCGTCTGTCTACTCATCATGCCTGTAGTTTAGGACTAGGGAATGTTGTCACTCATCATGTCAGGGTGAGCACCAGGTATCATTGAAAGAAAGTACTGTTATCTTCTATCCGGGAATGGTTTGTACTTTGCTATGAAAATGTTTTATGGTGCTCCCTTTGTTGCTTGTTATAATATAATATCTTTATCAGGTTTCTTCTTCTTTGTTTGTGTATCGAATTCGGTCGGAAGACGTTAAATTTATTGAAATTTCTAATTTGAAAATTTTCCTTCATAATTTTTTTATTATGCTATAATTGAGATTCGAACTCGAGAGTCAATCATTCAGCTCAAGAGAGTGAAGACTAAAAGACTCCAGAGTTAACAGCTTCTTGCCCTTTAAAAGGGGTCTATGTGCATTTATCATATGGAACCTACAAAAAATGAATTATCTCTGATTGATTTGCACAATCTTTTTTCTCTTAAATTCTTTGAAAGGGAAACTTTTGTTGGAAAGGATGAGCACAAAATGCTTACGGGGAAGCCAGACATAATCATTTTTTCAAAATTTATAAGGGCACCATGACTGATGACACCAACCAAAGGGATGATATAAAACTCAAAATACTAAAATATTTCCCTTTATAAAAGCTTAAACCGTACAAGAACCTGAGCATTTGATTCAATTTTGATACAAATCTCTTCTTCTCCCAACGGGCAAGCGTGAATTTTCCTTTTCCGAATAAAAAACATAGATCATACAAAGAACAAAAAATGCACCAAAAAGATTCAATTGAGCATAATATCGAAATGACTGAATGGTCTCATATGGCAAATGAGGCTGTCATTTGCTTTTACTATTAAAGATGGAAAGATGATGAATCTGATCGGCTTCCATGTTAAAATATAGAAGATTAGAAATCCAAACCCCCTATTTAATCTGAATCGGACGAGTCAGCATTAGAGCTTTGCCGGACACTCCTCTTTGTCTGTGTACCAGACTTTGATGCATGTAAAGATGATTCCCCTTCAGAGAAGATGACTTGAGCTTTAGCCAATCTCTCCTCCAAATCTTCTGTTGCAAACTCATCTGTCCCGCCAAGCTCATCAAATCCAACCTGAAAAACACACATCAAAACAGACAGAGGGAACTATCAGAAACAGAAAAACACATTCAATTTCAAATGTTATGGTTATATCTTCTGATGTCGGGAAAACAACATAACATACCACATAATCATCGACCTTGGCATTTTTTATAAGGGCAAGTGTAGGAAGAACAACAATCTTGAGCCTCTCAGCCAAGAATGGACTTTTCTCAGCATGGATTTTGACGAAACGTGTTTCTATGTGCTGCTTTGCCAATAAACTCAAGTGCTTGTCCATCACCTGTGATTCAACTCGAGAAAAAATGAGTTATTTTGCCTCGACTCCAATCCTACTTCAAAATACAATAAAAACCCACACTAACTATTTGCTTTTTACTTCCATTAGTTCATTTTCTCCATAAGTTCTCTTCTTTGTTTCAATGATTTCAGCATTCATCAAGGTTTCAAAAGCAATACGGAAAATTTTCAAATAAAAAAAAAAAAAAGAATTTTGCATTTTCATTTTTTTTCAGGATCAGAAATTGAAAAAAAAAAGCAAGTACCTTACAGGGCCAATTCTCGCGATAGAAATGGCAAACGACGCGCTCACTAGCTTTAACAATTGAAAAGAAGTCCTTTTCAGCTGGAATCTCAGAGTATTCACCATGGCCCAAACCGATCCAACGGCTCCGCTTCTCTGCCATCTTCTTCATCTGCTGCAACCTCCGCTCTCTGATAGCCTCCATATCGTCGTTGTCGAGGCGATCCAACGCCGCGATCTCTTCGTCGATTTTGTCCTCGACGGCCTTCGCCACTGTCAGCACCTGCTTCTCCAGGATCTAGAAAGGAATGAAAAAGCATAGAATTTTAGAAGACAAATTAGAGATCCGAACGTGCGAAAGAAGGCTTATGCCTTTATGAATGAGGTTACCTCTTGAACCTTTGAATTTTCCATTGTTGGATTAGAAGCTTTGTTTCTCCCTCTCGCTGGAATTTCAAAATCGAAATGATTTAGGTGAGTGGCGAGTGTGTGAGAGATGGGGTTTTTTAATTTTCCGCTTTGGTTTCTGAAAATACTGAAGAGGAAAGTGGTCAAAGCGTCGTCGTTTTGTTTAGAAATTTGGCCGAAAGATGAATGTTGGGGCCTTCTGCCCCGATTTGTTAGTCCTGACTCCACAGATTATTGGGCTAAATTCATAATTTGACCCCAAATGTCACAAAACACGAAAGTGTCACCAAAAAAACGTTATTCGTTACTCATTAGTGTGGAAGAAGAACAAACCACTTGGCCGGCAATAGCAATATGCCTATCTCAAGTCTCAACAGCTCCAAAGTTTACTGATTTATGGGACAGATAGGGGTTTCATGTCAAAGACAAATAAACAATTGTTGCAGCTGATCGACTAATATATTCACGTAAACTAATATGATTAATTGTCTAAGTAGTTGTGGTTAGATTTGGGCAATTCTAAGTAGTTGTGGTTAGACTTTGGTAATTTTTAAATTCTTGTTACGTCAAATATTAATAATTTATATATTTATATTATATTTTATATAAATATTACATAACATAATTCTTATTAATATAAAAAATATGAAATATTTTTATTTTTATTAAATTTATATATAATTTTAATTAAAATTTTAATTTTTTTATATCTTAAAATTTTATTTTTTATCGTATTATATTTTTTGTATTATTTTTATATTATATTATTATTTCGTATTTTAAATTGTCTATATTATAGTAGGAATGGTTTATTCAAAGCTTTTGAGTAAACACGATTATGCTTGATCATGTCATCATTTTTTTACTATCTAGGATGCATAACGTTAAGGTTCAAACTTCCAAGTATATTAAGCTGAATTTTCTCCATGGTTCTAATTTCTAAATCGCCGACGATGAGTCTCTAGCTTCCCGACCAAAATATTACCATAAAGGAAAAAGTTAATACTATTAATAATTTTTGAATTATAATAAAATATTTAATTTAGTACTTAAATTTTTAAAATCTCTAATGATACCTAAATTACAATTTTTTTTTTTTTTATGATCAATGGAAATTCCGGAAGATTTCACATGCATTATAGTCCACGACATCATGAATACCTAATAACTGTCTAATCCTTGAAAATACCCTTTTACAGGTCTCTTTCTAATCTACAGAAGATGTGACGCAAATTTCCCAGTCATTGGCTCACTTATAACATTGGCATGTACAGATTTAACTTCATGTTTGAATCGAAGCATGCCAAATGCATGATTTGTAACAATGACTACCAATGCGTAATGTCATCTATCATCATTGATGATACTATAATTAATGTAGTTTGTAGGAATTCATGGGTTCAGTTATCCAACAAAAGAAAAGGATTCAAGTCCTAAGGAGCTTCATTTCAAGAACATGTTCCAAAGTACCCAAAAACAAAACTAATGGGCTTAAACAAAATGTAAAATGTTTGACCAAAAGCCAAAGATTAAAACAGACAAAAACCTAAACTTAAGGCAGCCCAGCACATCAACTGACTAAAGTAGCCCATTTAAGTTCTCTCACATGCTACTGACTTACTGTTATCAGCAAAGTAACAGAAAGAACAAGCTTAGTTACATTTTACATTTTTGCAATTGATAAATTGAATATTCCAAATTGACTGTAGTGCTAACCTGTATAAACTGTGGTTCTCACCCTATAGGTTTTATGAAGTAACATAATAGGAAAAAGGAGATAATGCAGCTTTTGTATGTACATGAATTAACCTCCCATACTGTTGGATGGGCAACAGCTCTGATTAGGAGAAGATTCCTTGCTACAGTCAGAAGAAGCCAGCAAATTGACCTAAAACATGGGTTTCAGCATCACGGGAAGGTTGAGACACTCAACAATATAAAGAAAAACAAGTCGTGAGATATATACCTTTACAATTTCGGACTTCGAGCTTGGTTGTGTGTAGGCAGTTAAGATGCTCATGTTGAAAGCCTGGGAGTAAGGACATTTGAAATTAATACGTATAAAAAAAAAAAAAAACCTGATAATACTCGAATTGGGTTCTACTATGAATGGAAATGCCAAGTTGCGGAAGCACCAATACTAATATTTCACCCATAAGATATAAAGATAGTGTGGAAAAACTAAAAAATAAATCAGTGTGAAAACTGAATGTATATTGAAAAACTGCTTATTAAGAATTATACAAAAATCTTAGGTTTATATACAACTAACTAGGGGTTAAACTAGGAAACTAAATCTTCTTAAAAAATTAATCCTATAATTGAGGGATTGTCTATCCTAATTTTAGGGATACAAATACTTGATTCTAAATATACAAATATAAATATACAGATTACAACCAACTGTAACTAAATATTTTCCCACACTCTCTCTCAAGCTGGTGAATAGGTGTTTTCCATTCTCAGCTTGAAAATAATTTCTTGAAATGTTGCACTGCTGAGACCTTTAGTCAACATATCTGCAAGTTGACCCTTGGTTGATACATAAAGTGTACAAATCAACCCACTGTCTAGTTTTTCCTTTATGAAATGTCAGTCTACTTCAATGTGTTTTGTTCTGTCATGTTGCACAGGATTGTGTGCAATGCTTATTGCAGACTTGTTATTACAGTAGAGTCTCATTGGTCCATCTCACTTGATCTTCAAGTCTTCTAGGATAATCTTTAACCATAGTAGTTCACAAATTCCTTGAGCCATTGCTCTGAACTCTACTTCAGCACTTGATCTTACCACCACATTCTGTTTTTTACTCCTCCAAATCACAAGATTACCACCTAAGAAAATGCAGTAGCCTGAGGTGGATCTTCTATCAGTTACTGAACCTGCATAATCAGTATCTATATATGCTTCTAGAACTAATCCCGAATTTCTTTTGAATAAGATACCTCTCCCAGAATTGGCCTTCAAATAATGCAACATACGGAGACAGCCTGTAGGTGCACTTCTTTAGGACTATGCATAAATTGACTTACCACACTCACAGCATATGCTATATCAAGTCTAGTATGTGAGAGATAAATGAGTCTTCCAACTAATCTTTGGTACATCTCTCTATTTACAGCAGCATCTTCATTAGCTTCTCCAATTTTATGATTAGGATTTATAGGAGTATTTACAGGTTTACATGCAAGCTTCCCAGTTTCCTTTAGAAGATCCATCACATATTTCTATTGTGAGATGAAAATACTATGCCGTAAGTGAACTACTTCCATTCCTAGGAAGTACTTCAATCTCCCTAGCTCTTTTATCTCAAATTCTCTAACCAAACACTATTTTAGAGATTCTCTCTCTTTTTCATCATCTCCAGTTACAATTATATCATCAACATACAATAATAAAACTGTGACTCTCCCTGAATCAGAGTGCTTGATAAACAATATGTGATCTCCTTGACTCTGTTATATCCCATTGCTAGCATCACTTTGGCAAATCTCCCAAACCAAGCTCTAGGAGACTGTTTAAGGCCATATAAAGCTTTTTTCAGCCTGCATACTTTGTTTGCTTTTAAATGACCTCCAAATCCCGGTGAAACCTTCATATATATTTCTTCTTTCAAATCACCATGTAAAAAAGCATTCTTTACATCAAATTGTTGAAGCTGCCAATTGTAATTTGCAACCAATGATAACCAAAATCCTAACTATATTCATCTTGACAACTGGAGCAAAAGTTTCTTGGTAATCCACTCCATATGTTTAAATGTAGCCCTTAGCCACTAACCTGACTTTATACCTTTCAACAGTACCATCCGTCTTGTATTTTACAATGAAAACCCATTTACACCCCACTGAATTTTTTCCTTTAGGCAACTCTACCATTTCCCATGTCTAATTTTTCTCTAAGGCCTCTATTTTTATTTTCATGGCTTGCCTCCATTTCTCATTGGATAATGTCTCGGATAATGTAGTTGGAACAGAAATAGTGTTTAGGCTCACAAGAAAATTTTTGTGGGATGATGAGAATTTTTCAAATGACACAAAATTAGAGATTGGATATAGTGGATGCTTGATACATTCTCTGGTTCCTTTCCTAATGGTAATAGGCAGATCATAATCACTAGTTATAGGTTTAGGAGATTTATGCTCATTTTGAAAAACAGAGTAAAAAACTGTAGTTACCTCATTTCCAGAGTTAGAATCATGTTCTTGGACTGACACTGGTTCAAGATCTGAAACTTTCCTTCTTGAGTACACTTATAATTCCTTCATAGAATCAAGAACAATATTATCATTTGTCACATCTTCCGTATTTGGAATGGGTTCAGACTCAAATTCAGTGTTGGACTTGGGCTCAATAGAAACAGGTTTCGACTTAGAAGAATTAATGGGTGTAAATGTTGAAGAAAAGGGCAAATCAAGAAAAAAAAAGTCTTTATCCTTATCTTCCATAAATGAAGTCTCCCCCTAAAGATAAGATTGAGTAAAAAATGATTTATTTTCTTTAAAAGTGACATCTACAGACATATAAAATTTTTTAGTAAGAGAATGATAGCACTTATATCCTTTTTTAGTTAAAGAATACCCCACAAAAATACACTTAATCGCTCTTGGATCCAACTTTCCCCTGTTATGACTGTGAACATGAACAAATGATTTAATCGCTCTTGGATCCAACTTTTCTCTATTATGGCTGTGAACATGAACAAATGATGTACAGCCAAATATCTTAAGTGTGAGATTGTTTGTGGTATTGACGTTGGGATAAAATTATGAGAGTAGTTTCATAGGAGTTTTAAATCCCAAAACTCTTAAAAGTAACCTATTTATAATGTATGTGGCAGTGAGAACAGCTTCCCCAGTAAGATTCAGGTACATTTGCTTGAAAAAAAAAAAAAGCTCGGGTTGTGGCTAGTAAATGACTGTTTTTCCTCCCTGCCACTCCATTTTGCTGTGGAGTATTAACACAAGATGAGTCATGGATAATCTCTTCTTTTTGAAAATAGGTGGATAGACTCTGGTTGAAGTACTCTCTTGCATTATCAGACCTAAATCTCTTGATTCTCACTCTAAATTGATTTTGAATCATGTTTTGAAAGCTTAAAAACACACTATTCACATCTGATTTGAATTTAAGTAAAAAACCCCAGAGACCCTGGTACAATCATCTATGAATGAAACAAACCATCTCCTACCAAAAATATTAAGAATTGTAAAGGGACCCCCAAATATCACTATGAATCAAGTAAAAGAGAGTAGAACTTCTTTTGTTACTGATTGGAAAAGACACGTCTATGCTTTGCAAGTTCGCAAATATCACAGTGAAAATCTTTAACATTTAATCCTTTGAACAAAAAAGGAAACATGTTTCTCAAAGTTCCAAAAGAAGGATGTCCAAGACGAAATGATAAAACCAGATTGTCTTTATTGAAAGATTTTTCAGAAAAAAATGATAAAGGTAAACTATTATTGATATTACTTGTGTTATTTGATGTCTCAAGATAGTATAATCCATCCTTCTCCTTAGCAAGTCCAATCATCTTCCCTGAACTCTAGTCTTGAAATTCATAATAAGAGGGATAAAAAGTTACTTTGTAATTCATATCTCTGGTAAGTTTTTGTATAGATATCAGATTAGTAAACAATCTAGGAACATGAAGAACATTTTCTAGAACAAACAAGGGATTAACTTGAACATCTTTTAATCCTGCCACTGTAGTAAGTGAATCATCTACAACAACAATTTTCTTATTACTAGGACATAGGTTATATGTATTAAACTTTTGTGAGGAATGTGTCATATGATCTGTGACTCTTGAGTCAATGACCCAAGAACTCGAAATAAGCTTTGCCGAGACATTTAATCCATGAGAACCGGAAGCTTTACCTGAACTAGAAGCCTTACCCAAAGAACATACCACAATAGGCTTTTCAAGGATTTTCAATAAATTTTTCAGTTTTTCAATCTCTTCCCTATCGAACTCTCTTTGTTTCTGAGACATCTATAATACTCCAGTGATTTTCCCACTTGACATTTCCTCAAATTGGGTGGTAGTGATATCTTTCTTTGAAAGGGTTCTGCAATGAAGGCCTAAACAAGATTCGGCAATGAAGGCCTAAAATAGAAGTCAGCAATGAACGCTGAAAATTTTGCTTCCCAAGAAGAGCCTAAAACTCTGATACCATGTGAAAAAACTACGAAATAAATCAATGTGAAAACTGAATGTATATTGAAAAATTGCTTATTGAGAATTATACAAGAATCTTAGGTTTATATACAACTAACTAGGGGTTAAACTAGGAAACTAAATCTTCCTAAAAAACTAATCCTATAATTGAGGGATTGTCTATCCTAATTTTAGGGATACAAATACTTAATTCTAAAAATACAAATATAAATATATAGATTACAACCAACTATAAATAAGTGTTTTCTCACATATAGCCCTAAAATACAATGGATTAAGTTATCCCGGTCAATCAGCTATAAATGATTTGATTCGAAGGTTCATTAATGTAAGCAACACCATAGAAAACAGCCTTCTCTTAGTGTGCTCAGTTCTACCCAAGTTATAAATGATTTGAAAGACATAGGTTCATTAAAACAAAGAATGAAAAATAAGCAAGGTGAACACAGTAAACCTACTTCTTGTTTAGTGCATCAGAGGACAAGCAACTAGACATTTAACTCATGTTTCACAACCATAAGAATCAAACAACAGAACTAGGTCAGCATAAAACAATCGGTGCCACTATTTCTGAATGCCCCATTTAAGATAGATTAAAATAAAACTAAAAGGGAAAAAGGGTTTTCACAAAAATTTTCAAAATGTAAGTATGTTGCTTTAAATAGACAATTTAGAATCATTTCTCCCTTGGTATGCACCACTATTTACAAGGGGGAAAGTATTGCCAGAAAAATGTTACTCACCCTAAAGGGATCACCCCTTAGTGATTGCACAAACATCGAACTCCCCGAGGCTTTTCCCTGCATAACACCAAAAAGAAATCAACAAAAAGAGGAACAACAAATTTGGAAAGGAAGGGATATAGAGGGTTGTTTTACCAGAAGCTAACTACAAGGTAAGAAATTGGAAATAGATAATCCAATACTCAATTTCTGTGAGTTTTTTCCTCCCGTATTTCTTTGTACTTGTTCTGGTAATAAATTGTGCTTACAACTCTCTCTCCCTCAACCTCGTTCTTTCATTAGTTTACAAATATATTTTTCTCTAGGCATTGTCTTCTTTTCATGATGACAGGCTCTGAAAAAATTGTCAAACAGCTTAACCTGGTTTCTTGGTTTCTGGCTTTCCTCTTCATCAGTGGTCTTTTCTCAGATTTTCTTTTTATTTTTTTGCAACTCCTATCTATTCTTACATTCCTTGCTTAATATAATGATTTACTGATATAGCAAAATTTTAAACCTAAACAAATCAGCCCAAGTTCAAACCTAAAGTTTTATTCCTAAAAGCTATTTCTGTTGATTCCAGTCGTATTATATCCTTTCATTTACAAATATCCCCACAAAACATGTACTAACATTTAAGAAAGTTGGTGCTATATTTTAATCAACCTTTTTGTCCTTAACTCCAAACTTTTGAATAGCACAGAAACACAAATAGCCAAAACCTTGTCACTAACAAATTCTACAATGCAATGAGAGAGAGAGAGAGAGAGGAACATATCCTGTCTTCAAAATTGGTCTGTGCTAGGCACATGTATCCATACTGAATCATTCTATGCTTCATAAATCAGAGCACATAGATGTAGAAAAAAAAAATTGTGCAAATTGAAAGTGACGTGTACCTCCAAAGAAATATCCCTGAGACGCCTCCCAGTTTGAGCACAGCAAACACGGACAACATGTTCATCACAGCTCCCACTTATAATATAGTCCTTACCATTCAGGTAGTAGGAACGAGTGTAATTTTGCAGGCTGCCAGTTGAAGGTATCTCAAAATTCAGGTGAAGCCTTCCATCAGCAGCCAGAAGTTGTCTTACCTGTCAATATCTACATGTTAAATCAAAGTAAAACCTTCTTTTACATGGCATAAACCTAAAAAGAAAAGGAGTAAATATTTACAAATTACAATTAATAAAAATTAATGCAAAATTTAAACAACAGAAAGAGGAAGACAGCAAACATGAACAAAAAGGCCCAAATGCAATTATAAGAAAGGGCACATTTCAATTGAGTTTTGCAAGCCTTGGCAAAGGAAAATAAGTTATACATTCTCTTAGAAGTACAATATAGTGGTACTTCCACAACCACAAGTCATTACCCAATTTATGAACCTGCCAAAGTGGTAGTTTGTAAACAGAGCTGTCAGTTAACTTTGCATTTAGTGGCTGCTATAACCTGAATCCACCCTCTTGCACAACTAAGATTCAGAATTGAAAACTGAAGATACGAGCAAAAGCCAACAATCTCTATTATGAAGAAAAGCAGCAGCTCTATTCACAGAAATCTTTCATAAAAGCGGTTCAGTCATAGTAAGAATTTCTAGCCAAATTTATTCTTAACCATATATTGGTTTTATATCCTGAACCATCCAATAATATTTGAGTCCAGATCTTAAGGAACATGTCTAGTCATAGTCACAGTATGAAACTCAATGTTCAAATACATGGAACAACATTGGAACAGGCACTCCAACTCATGCTGTTATTTATTATAAATAAAAATTACCTCCTTGTCAACAGCTGAAGCAAGAAGATAGTGATCATCTGGCGAGAAGCAGACCATCACATTTCCCCTAGAACTTGAAGCAGCATAGCAAGGCCTTATTGGCTTCTGTCTCAGGTCCCACATTTTAATATCCTGATCAAATGATGAAGTTGCAAAAATTGATGGGGAATGGTTTGAAAACTTGACTACGTTAATATGTTCTTGGTGCATATCTGTGAACATCTGTAAGCGTCTTCCACTGTTGATATCATACAGAGCCACATTTTTAGAGTAACCACTTGCAAGAAAGAGTTCATCTGTAGAGTTAACATGAACAGATGTTAATTGGTCAAACTCATCAAAGGTGACAGAACCAGCGCCAGTATGCATGCACTTGGAAGTTGATGTGAAATGCTGAATATCATACAGCTTCAGTGAGCCATTATCTGAACCAGCTATCAGCTGAATGAAAAAAGGTAAAAACCAAATAAAAAACAGCCATATTTATCAGACTTTAATATGGTAGAGAACAAAATGTCCAAAAGTTGCATCATATCATTAATGAGTTGACACTGAGGGATGAATATAGGAGAATGGTTCTCTTAAAGTGGTAAGAGCGAACTTTCTACTACAACACTAAATGATTCCACAAGAGGAAAGAGAAATAGAGTTTAATAGGGAAATACATTTATGAAGTTAGAAAGCACTACAATTTTAACCTCTCTTAAGAGTTCCTTATGGTATTTACTCACCTTAGAGGGATACTTCTTGAGCCAACAGAGCCCCAACACACTATTCATTGCCCCAAGTGAAGGGATGTAACTAACAATTTTCTCATTTTCATGGTTGATAACAACTACTTCACCATCTAAAGTTCCGAAGGCCATCAGGCTGGAGTAAGATGGATGATACTCAAACTGTCTTGGACGAAAGCTCCTGTTTTCATCTCCCAAATCGCTGCCTGGGATAGAAAGTGCATGCAGAAATGGCCAAGGTGAAGATCCCATTTTTGCAGCACAAAGAGATCGGGTGTAAAAATAATGTGATTTCCCGGCTGGATCCAATGGCCTTTGCTTTGGTGTTCGCAAGCTAGTATGGCTTGCTCTAATTTCACGCTTCTGCAATATACTAACAACATTTTCTTTATCGTTCCTTCTATAAGGCAGGTACTCAAAATATTTAAAAAATGTCACGTTAGCCATCTCCCTGTCAATATTTCTGATAGGTAAGTTATCCAAAACTCTCAACTGGGGTATTGAAGCTATCATGTACTCCATATAATGTTTCTCGAAGCATATTGGTGAAGCATGTTCAGAAATGTACTTGAATGAAACATCTGCAACATGCCTTGTGAAGGCACCTTCACAAGGCTCTTCTCCATTTTGATTTGACAGCACAGCAGAAGAAACCTGTCAAATGAATTAGAACAACAAACAAGGTCTATTAAAACCAATGCATAAGAAGAATGATGTTAAACAAAATAAGGAGAATTATTACTCCACCACTGTATAACAACCCTCATAATCAATGATTCTATCCGGAATTTAGATTGAACACCACGACTAAACTCTAACTAACATGGTATCCTCATCCATTTCCCAATCTAAAGAATTTAGATTGAAAACCACAACTGAATCCTAAGATATCCTCATCCATTTCCCAATCTACAAAATACAGGAATTTCCGCCTAATATTAAGACAAGATCCTGAGAAATGAAAAGGAAATACTAATAACAATAATTAATAACTTAAAAATAACTTCAAACTTCAGAGAATATAACTGGCATATCGGGAATTATCTGTGTTGGGCAACAAATTATTTCTCCTCGATACCATCATTACATTAAAAAGTAAACCAATAACTTCCATTTTTAGACCCCTAATACCGCGTGATATGCTATTATGAAAACAACTCAAGAAACTAGTGATGAGAGGCGATAGATTCACCTCACTCAGTAGATTGATCTCTCTGTTCCACCCAGGAGGTGCATTGGATGACAAGTCCAAGTAACTATCCTCCAGGCGAATAGCAAAATCTACTTCACTATCATCCGATGACTCCTCATTTGTGCTTTGAAAATTATGATTCATACTGAATGGAAGCAAATTTTTTATTGCATGTTCAGTCACAGAGTTAAAAACCATAAGTAAATCAAGACTAATAGGCAACGTCCCATGGTAAGATGCACCACTCAGCTGACTGGTTCCAGTTTGATGATCTCCACCGGATGATCCAGAGGATCTAACGTCATTGCAGCATAACCAGTTCTGAAACCTAAGTTCCACCAAAGAAAGGAGTTTGGAAAGTGCCGCAATTGTAGTCCATAGGTTGGAAATTCTGGTTTCACACATTGAGAGACACATTAGATTGGGCATGCAAGAAAAACAATCCTCCCGGAAACTAGTGAGCGTAGTGCTATAGTCAAGGTTAAGGGTGTGCAACCACATAAATTTTCCCACCAAGTCGAGCTTCCGAAAATGGGAAGACCTCAAATTTAGAACTTGGCATTGTAAACCTCCTTGAGAAAGATCCCTGATTGTATAACTTGAATTAGTTAAACAATCAAAGACATATAAAAACCATTTGTTGTTGTTAGCTTCACAAGTTTTTCCGAAAGAGATAAAGCAACTACCTTAACAAGCATCATCTAGAAAGCACAAAGTGCAGTAATTACAAAAGTGTTAACACTCAACTTATAAAATGGGAACTTAAGCAATAGAGACAAAATAAAAATCTAAATTCACCATAATATTAGGCCAAAAAAATACTGTATTCAAGCATCTCCACTATTATGCAACAGCATATACTCATTTAGGCTTCAGTTATAATTGAAACACTGCCAAAATCTAATCTAGCAGATATCAAAACGCAAATGTTTGAAGTACTTCTAGTCCCTTTCATCAGCCCAAGCTGACCAAAAAGAAATCATTAATGAGACTGCTAAGCTTCCAAACTAAAACCAATTGGCAATAGGAAGAGATGCCCAAGCTAAACAAAAGAGCCACAGAAAACTCGAAACTTGACTGATGTGGGATAATACCACTTGACAAGGACAAATCAAACTAACAGCTCCAGCTGGTAGAGTAGGTGGATTCCTTGACACATCATCTACCAGAGGCTAACAGAAGCACTCCATGCAGTCAGCCATTTGCAAAAAGAAAACAGCTAGTAAAATAGAGAAACCAAGAAAGAACAGGGAGATCGTTACTTTGATAAGAACAGTGATATGAGCTCTTTTGCATCTACAACTTACATTTATTTCATAATCAAAGGCCTCTCAAGCAGATGATTCATATCTTTCAAACATGCATTGGAAGCATTTATAGTATTCATTAAAGATTAGTACATGAAGAAAAATACTATGCCCCAAAGAACAAATGGTTGTCAGTGATATTAGCACCCAAAAAACTCATCAAGTACAAGCACAGCTACAAAAATTATCCATATTGGGGTCGTATAGCAAATTTGCCTATGAATCAGAATTTAAAATAAATAAAAAAAAGGAGAGAGAGAAGGAGAAAAGGAAAAAGAACCAAATCTTTTCTAAAGCCAAATTCACAAAATGGTGTCCCCATCTAAAACAATCCAGCTATAACTAAATGACAAGTAATATCCACTTTTCGATAAACAACAACTATATGGTTGAGATCTAGAGGCGCCACTTTCCAACACACGCTTCTTCCAAAAATATTTTAAATATACGGTAAGATCAAGTACTCAAATGGCGAAATAAGTTTACGCTACAATATATACAAAATAAACTACGACAATATAATCATTAAAACTATTGAATCCAAAGTGTGTTAAATATTTACTCAATCTCACTCTTAACTGGCATTCCAAAAAGGTTATAGGTTCTTGAAAAAAATACAAATTAGCTTAAAAGCATTTATTATTCTTTTGTAGTTGTGTTGGTTATTTCATCCTAATCTCCTTAGGCAACTATAGAAATCTAATGTATATTTATTACTATATTGAGAAAGATTGCATGCTGAAAATGAAGAGGGAACTATCAAGAGAGGAAACCTTTCTAAAGCTTCACTGACTAATTGTTTCAACATAATTACATGATTTATGGATAATATTAAATCCTGACTTGAGAATACTCACTGGTGTTCCTTATACATTCAGTGGAAAGTCTAAGGCAATTACCAATCTCCTTTTGTATTGATTATCATCTTCACTTCCTGATTTTTATCATAAGGTGCAAGTACACAGACCTCCCTCCCCCAGTTGATTTTTGAAGTTTCATATACCTTTAGATTCATATGTACCCAATGTTCTACTTGCCCCTGCTAGACGGTAGTTATTTAGACAAATGTCAAATGATTATATCACCTTCAAAATATTGTAATAAGCAATATTTTAAGGACTTAAGTTATTAGACTTATAGAACAAATTCAAAATGAGAACAACACCCTTATCTAATTTATCTACCACCGCCCTCTTACAATTTGAAACATGTCCGATGTATTGCGTGCCAAAGCTAACACATCAGCAGATTCTTTTTAAACTGAAACATGTTAGTATTGAAATATTTAAAAATAAAATAACCAAAAATAAATACATTGCCAAATTATTCTACTGCAAAGCACAGCTCCATCCATAAAGGGATAAAGAAGGATTTGAATCATGGTTTCCCATAGGACATTTATAACAGAAACCACCTTCTACATTGACAAACCCCATTGACTGCAGCCTCAATCATGTCAACATAGTGCTAACCTATATCTCCACCTCAACCTCAACTTCAAACTAAACTTAAATTGCCATCATAGGCACCTGATTAACTCTATTTACGCCTAAAAGAATATCCAAGATTTATGACATAGAGGAAGAAGTAAAGCAAAAAAGAAGTTTAATCAGCAATGTCAATTATAAGATATTTGTGTTACTCAAATTGCATCAAATGTACAAGTATAAGCTTCTTTATGTTTTTATCTTTTTCTTTTCTACAATGTGGTTTTTTGGGTTAGAGTTGATGACAAGTAATACTGATACAAGTCACCATAAAATCAGTTTTGCACTGTCTCACACATCTCAAGGAGAATATTTCTCAGTTCTAGCTTGGTCTCTTCCGTTCTCTTTCAAGTTTCAACCAACTAAAAATTTAGGCTTGGTTGAGTTTCTTAACAACACCACCACACCCCCCCCCCCCCCCCACCCTAAAGAAAAAAATAATGAGCATATTGGTGATTTTTGTGTGATCATAATCAAGAGCTTACCAGTTGTTGATGATCATGTCTAAGAATAAACTTGTTGAGGTGGCTACAATCAACATTTTTTAAGGAAGAAAAAGTAAGGAGAAATCATTAGCCTACCATATGGTGGGATAATGCTACATAATTGATGATAAAAAAGGAAAGTCTGCTTAACAATTCAGAAAACATTGAATTGTAGCATAATTAGCTAATTGCACTTTTTACCATTTTTTTCCTTTTTTTTTTTCCGAAATATACACTTTCCCTCTTGAGATCCTAAAAGTATGAACTTACCTCCTGAAATGTGCACATGAAGGGATTAAATATTGTAAAAGTTCACACTTGAAATGCCTCAAATCATGAAATTATTAAAATTAGTTAGAAAATATTTCAACAAGTGTAGCCAACAAGGTTATCGTTTCTTCACTCCCATGTATCCAACTGCTTAAAGTTTCTCCAACAAAAATTTTAAAACTTCACCATTCTATCATCCCTAAAAAGTGGTAATAAAAAAGTAAATTCATACACATTTAAACAAGTACGGAATCAGACCTTTTACTCAAAGACAATAATGCATAATAAACACTTGTGTATACCGCAAGAAGTCCTTCCCAAATGACAAATCCAGGAGATCAACTACTCGAAGCTTTTGATCAATAGATCGCATCAGTAACAGAGCATATTCTCCAGTCAATGCACAAGATGATTCATTGATCACATCCACTGTGTCAATCTCAGATTCCTTGATTTTCATAGACACTTCAAGAAGTGGGTGAAAATCAATATCCTTCACACCATCAAAAAAATCTCCAGGATACATTCCTCATGACGGGATTTTTTAACCTCGGCCTGAAAAGTTAAAGAAAAGATAATTATCAGATTAAACTTGCACAACCATAAACAAAGAAGTATAAACTGTCACCAAAAGAGAAAGATAAAACTCGCACAACCATAAACAAAGAAGTATAAACTGTCACCGAAAGAGAAAGAAACATGATGTTTCGGCACAACGTATCCAAGAAGGTGAGAAGGAAAAGGCAGTGAACGTTTAGCATATTTAACCATAGAAGTCAATCTCTCTTTGCCAAATTTGATAATAAGGAAGAACACAGTCCTTTGAGCCAAAACATTAGATCATATTATATTAGGTTGAAAACAATCAAACTAGACTTTACATGACACTTTGTCATCTTTTACCACTAAGAGTAGAGCAGTAGTGCCCAAGGATGCCAACAACTCTGCCACCATAATAGACCAAAAGCTACTCCAGTCAACAACATAGACTAGGTTACTCAGGTTATTTATGTCACATTCTTTGCTTATTAACCAAGTATCAGGATGTAAATACTCAGTCAGTTCCAATTCCAAGGAGATTTTGATATTTGAGATACTATTAATGTATGGTGAGATTTAAGAATTATCAAAATTTCCCTTGATTTTTGAGCATGTTCTTCAAAGTCTTTGCATTTCTAGAGTATTATCTACTCATCCAACATCACTAAGTGTGCTATGTGATAAGCAGCCAATTTCTATTTCCGTAGATCATGTAAGTCACAAAACCAGCTAACTAAACTCCTTTTCACTTCACCGAGTCCTCCATCATAAGGATGCACCAAGAAGCATCTCCATACATGATTATAGATGTCTTATGCAAAAATCATATGCCCTTTCTTACTTACAAGATGCACTGTGTACAGTCAAACACTTTGTAACAAGACTAAACCCCAAATTTCAACTCTAAGAACATCTCAAGCATACTATATATAACAGTATGAATTATTCCTTCCTTACTACTGATTGAAATAGGTCTGAGCAAAGAGCTTGAAGAGATTAAGCCTGACATCAAACATTCCCCTTAGTCCTTTCTAGTCTAAGCGGGAAAACCAAAGTGCCACCCTCACAAGATAAAGAAGCTGTAAAGAATATTCTCTAGGTCTCAAATTGAAATGCATTGATAGCACGACTATACGATCAGAAAAATCACAAGCCTGGCAAGCCAACTTGCAGCTCCTAGTCTAATGATCAGAAGATCCAATTTCATTTGTCTAAACTCTCAACATTCAAAGTCCATTCTAAAGCATTGGAAACCATACAAATACATACAACTTCGTAAAATTGCGACATTAAAATGTAAGAAAAGCAACTACATCCATACAGAGTACCTAGCATAATCATGTATGGGTACAAACCTTGAAAAGAGCAGCTAAAAATCCAGTGCTTGGCGAGACACCATGCTTCCTGCATGATTCAATGTATCTACAACCAAATTCAGCAATATAAAAATTAGAAAAAAAAATTCTATATCGTAACTCATTGGAAAATAATTTAGATTAGATTATAAAAAAAAAAAAGCGCAAAAGCAATCTTCATAAACAAACAAACAAACAATTTGAAATCAAAAAAGCAATCCGATAACTAAGGTGTTAGATTAATAATTCATCATTTCGAGAAGAAATTTTAGGTTTTTATGAAGAATTAAAAATCTAACAAAACAAACAATCAGCCAATAAAGTATAATCTATCGAATAAAGGAATAGTACAAAATTTGCATTGAAAGGTAAAAAAACAGAGACTTACATTGCTCCTAAGTCTGGGATTTTGATGGCCATAGCGATTCAAGTCAGCGAGATTTTGAAAAGAAAGGAAGAAATTGTGAAATAAAAGCAACTTTTTTTTCTTCTTTTGATATTTGTTGAATTGGATGTTTGGGTGTTTTATTTTACATAGAAATATGAGAGTAAGAAGAAGGGAAGGCGGAGAAGGAAACATCAAATGCAAAAATGGCAAATGTTTTAGTAATTTTGCAACGCATGAATGGGCTCCGCTGCAGCTTTCCCGACGACGCTGCGTGCGTTCATCTCAACCCTTCCAACTTCTTTTTCTTGAGTTGTCATTATGCTTTTTGGCCAAATAGTTACTATATTTGTATCTTTAGTAACGACAATTGTTTCATGACTTTAAATTGTGACAATAAGAGTTCTTTTATTCGAGCATTAGTGATGTTTCATTAGCATTTGTGAAAACTAGAAATAATTTATACTTATTTTGTGGGTAGAAGATAAAAAGATGCATGTGTTAAAGAGAAAAGAAATGGATAGGTTTTTTTTTTTTTTTTAAGAAGTAGCTTTTTAAAAAGTATTATTGTATAAAAAATAAAAAAAACTTGAATATCTATATTTTATTATTGATATTATAATTTTATTTATTTATTAATTTTTATTAAATTTGCGTCACTTAACTATAAAATCAAACTCGCAACATCTGTCAACAAGAATTGAACTTGGATTAACAATAAAAATAAAAACCATTTTTGCTTGCCAACTAAGTTAATCCTCTAAGGGCTTTAATAAGTACGTTTAAAATGCTTTATTTGGTCAAAGTTATGGAGTTGCGATGAAAGAGCAATGGTATAAAGTATAAAATATTATGTAAATATTAATAAATGATTAATTTAATTAATTAAGATTTATTTATTTTTAATGAATAAATTTTAAATTTGAGTTTTACTAATAATTATTTGTTAAAATTATTTTAAATATATGATTTATAATTATTTATTTTAAATTATCAGATACGATATATTTTATTTTAATTTAAAAAATTAAATAATTTATTTATTCAAAATTTTTTGTACCCAAAAAAATTAAGTGGACAAAAAATTAAACTACGTCGTTTATTATACTTAATTCTTCTCCTACTTTTGTATTTTTTGGACAATACTTAAAAATGCGGAGGACAAAACAAGGGTCGAGTGAAAGAATCCAGACAATTCAATAATCAAGTTGGGAATCTGTTAGACAGCTGCGTGACCATCCCAGGCAAGCAAAGGGCTGGCTAAGAACGATCCTCTACGGTCAGAGTGAACTCTCAGGATCACCAAACCATTAATCACGCTCTGATCAACCAAACCTCATATACTTTCTTCTTAGATAGCATTTGATATTTTTTGTAAAATTATCTTAGTAATGTAATTATTAAAGTGATTTTAATACTCATGATTTGAACCTTTTTTTTTTTGTTAATAATGATTAATTTTTAAAAATTAAAAATCATTGTATTTGATATTATTAAAAATAAATTTTATTTTATTTAAAAATATAAAAATAATCATACATATTGTAATAATTATATAAATTAATATTTTTATAGTTATTTAAATATAATATTTTATAAAATATTAGTAATATTTATTTATTTTATAATAAAATATAATTAAATTATTAAATTAATAAATTTATTTATTGATAGATAAATTTATTTTTATAATATAAATTATGAAAAAAATATTTAAATTAGAAAATGAAACTAATTTATTAAATTCATAATAAAAGAAAATTTAAATATTATATTATATACAAAATATTAATATATATATATATATACAAATTATTTTTAACTTGTTATAATGAATATTAGATTGAAAATATAAAATAATTATAATTTTAAGATACAATAAAATTTTAATTTACATATTAAATAAATAAAATTAAATATTATTAATTTTACATATAATTTAATTTCAGTGATTAAAATTTTTCACTCTTTTATATAAAAATTAAATGATTCTTCAAAATAATAAAATAATCATTTTCAATAATTTAAAATCACCGTCACATAAAATAACTAAATACTTATTAAACATAATAATTTAATTATCATATATAAATCACTATAATTTTTAATTCGTAGAACGAACACTTTATACCAAACGCTATGATAGTGCTGAAGCTGAGCTCTAGGTGCTAAGGGATGGCTTAGCACTAGCTTATATGTAAACAAATCCCTTGCCTTGAAATTGAGCTTGATGCCTCTGATGTTATTAGTCTAATCTCCAACCCTCTTTCCACTAACCATGTTCTTGATCCGCTGATTTGTGATTGTAAGGCATTACTAAATCAGTTCCACCATATTAAGCTTACTCATACCTACGTGAAGGAATCGATGTAGGGATATATTAGTTTGTAAATTTGATAATTTAAAATATAATACGATAATATAATATGAATAAAAAATATAAAGATAATATAATTTAAAATTTTTAAAAATTATAAATAAATTTAATAAAATTAAAAAATTATATTTTATATTTTTGTATCGATTTAAATTAAAATATATAATTTTTATTTAAAATATGATATAAATATAATATTTTACATAATATAATAACACGAATTATCATATCTATTGGAACGGAAAGGCAGTGAATTAACCCCTGCAAGTGGGGACTTTTGTAATAGTTTTAGTGCTGATCCTGCTCCCTCAAATCATCGTTTTGTAATTCATACTTCTCCTCCAAACTTCCTTCAGCCTTTTATCTTCGCTGACGCAGTTGGAACCTTCCAGTATCCCACTATTACTTAAGTATTTATGCTATGCTCCTTTCAACCAAAAAAAAAAAAATTTCAATAATCTTGTTGGACTGAGAAGATTATGTAATTCGTATGCTTTTGTTGGATGTTTGTCTCAATCTTTGGAGTTCGGAGACTTCAATTTCTCTTTCTGGCCCATCTTCATCAGGATTGGGTCTGAAAAATAAATTAACATAATGCAGTGAAGAAGGTACCATTTGCAGTGCAGTAAAATTTGTCCTAAGATAATTTCGCTAATCTTAAATTTTTTTAAACCAAAAAAAAAAATGAAGATACTATTTGCAAGCTATCTTTGTAGTTATGATTTAAGGTATTCTTTTATTTTGGATTAGATGCAAGTCGTTTCAATATATGTTATCCAATATAAATATGGACTTAAAAAACCACAGGCAACTCTCGGTTTGAACCTCAGAGCCTGTGGAGTCGAAGCCCAGCTGGGGGGGGGGTGGGGAAGGTAAGTAAGACCCAATGATAAATAAATTGTCGATTCACACGGTTAAAATTATTTTTTCAATAAAAAAATATTTGATTCGAATTTTATCGATGGACATTTATTAAGGTTATTTCGAATGTATAATCTGTAATTATTTATTTTAAATTATCAGATATATTTTATCTTAATTTAAAAAATTGAACAACTTATTTATTTATAAATTTTTCTTACCAAAAAAAAAAAAAAAAAGAGCCAATGAGGATTTGCATCACTTATCTTATCGCATATAGATCTTGGAAGACAAAGGAATCAAGGAGCTGCTCGAAATACAAATAAATGCCCAAACTGGTCTCGGCTTCAATTGATCTTGCTGGTTTCTCTCCCAGCTTGGGTTCATTGATCTTTGCTTAAAGTGCGAACTTAACAAGTCTAAAAAGATCAAAAGTAGGAGTATAAATGAACAGAACTTTCATCGAATTGGTCATAAATATATTTAGTTTTTGTTTGATTATACTCACTTATCAAGTTTAATAAATAATTTTAAGTAGCATTTTTATATTCATTATTAAACAAATTGAATAAAAATAGAGATATATTTAATTTATTTATGTTCGTAAATAAATTTATTTAAAATTTATTCATTTGTTATTCATTTATCATAATACTAAAAAAATTATTTTTTTATTTTTTATCCTAATTTTATTTTAAAATTTGTTTATGTTGGTTCATTTATATTTGTTTAGAGTTTATTTATTTAAATTTATTTGATTATGGTTTGTTTATTATTTATAAATATATTTGTTTATAAATATTTATAAATATATTTATTTAATATTTACGAATAAACTTATTTAATTTAATTAAATTAAATACAAATTAAATACAAATATTTTATTATTTAAATAAATTAAAATCGAACGAATAAAATAATTTTTTTATCGAATATGAATCGAGTTTAAATAATTTTAAAAATAATCGAATAAATCATAAAAATATATTTATAATAAAAAAATAGCATATCGAAGATGAGTGGCCCAATCTAAATTCTGAGGTGCCTCCGACATGTCTATTTCGGCATGTTGTATATAGTTATGGTTTGCAACCACCAAATTTAGGTCTGACTAAGTGCGGTGCGCAGGACTGTGGTCGAAAGAAAAAGAGAGAGCGAATTAGTCGCATTGTCAGCCTTTGACATGCTTATCAGGCCGATCAAAACAAAATCTGAGGACAGTTGAAAACACTACTTTTGCAATTTAACAGTTTTTTCATCACTTGGGGTGAGTGTGCTTTCAGAATCTACTCATTCAACTGAAGATAGTAATGGAGATCATAATTACTTGGGGTGAAGGTGCTTTTAGAAACTACCCATTTAACTGCAGTCTTAAAAACCCAAGTACCAAATTATTTTTGCCAGGGACTCCAACATGAAGACTGACAGATTGTCATTCAATAATAAATTAATAACTAGTGTCATTCATTAATAAATTAATAACTAAATTTAAAATTTAACAATTAATTTATATAATTATCTTTAAAATTTTGACATTCAACATATATATCAGTTGTCCTGTCTTCGTAAACTGGCTTCCTGGCATAAAAAAAACATAGTAATCAAGTAGTTTTAAAGCATGATAAACCCTACTTAGTGCCCAATGGTTGACCAAAGTACAAACTGAAGCATAGTATACGCAAATGGAAAATAAATGTCAAAGAAAGCTGCCTCATGCCTAAAGGCCTAGGTCTTGGGACACAAAGAATCTAAAATAAAGTGGAAAAAAAAAAGAAAAAGTGTTACAAACTTTTTTTCCAATCAAATGTTGCATGGCTTTGAAACTTCACCATTACGGACAAGTTTTGTAGCCTTTTTTTTTTTTTTTTTTTTTCATCTTAGATTTGACAGGCTCAACTTGTTGAAGATGGCATCCTTTTTCCCACTGATATTTTTTCTCAGGTATGCTCTTCTTTAAATATAAAGTAAAGGTTGGTAAAAGAAAGCTATGTATCAAAGATTATGACCCATCTTTTCCATGAAGCTTAGCTGACTGACTGCCCATCTCGCCCTTTCTTTATCAAATGCACTGGAAAATTTTGGCTGACAATTATCGTATGAGAAGTGCACGTGCTTTGGTGCGTAAAGAAGAAGGCTGCTGTGGGAGTCAAAGAAGTTATGATGGCAAAAGACCCATTGAAGAGAAGGAGATCAAGTCCATGGCTATGCCTATAATGGCTTTAATACTCTCCGATTTTTTTGAATTGTAATGCTCGCTTTCACTAACATGAAACACGTTCCAACATGATGTTTCTCATCATGTAGGAAAAAGTTAAAAAATATAGTAGCAGCAAAATTGGGAATTTTTTTTATTTGAATGATGAAATAATTTATGGTTTGTATGGAAAAAATAAAAATTAGATTTAATGATTTATCTCAAATGATTCATTTATCTCCTTTTAAGTGATAAATTCTTGTAAATTTGAGGTTCGATTTTTTATATTCATAATTTTTCCTTCTCTTATATATCCCGTTATTTATATGTATGTGAAAAAAAATAAAAATATTATTTTAATTTATTTTTATTTGATTGATTGAGAAATGATGATATATATAGAGGTTAATAAATAATCGGCTCGATTTGAAAAAATTAATAATTGATTTAATCAATTTTTATTTAACAAATAATCGAATCGATCGAATATTATTAAATAATCAATTATAATTAAACCGATCAAAATCGGTTCGATTCGATCAGTTCGATTAAATAACTGATTTTTTTATCATTTTTTTTCTTATTATGAATAATTATTTAACTATAAATTCAATTCAATAAAATTCAAACTTTAGTATCATTCAAACTAAATTACTAAAAAATTTAATAATTTCAACAATATTTTACAAAAATAAAAAATAAAAATATTTATCTCAATTTTTTTATTTTTAATTATTAGAAAGTCGATTAATTCAGTCAATGCGGTTATCAATTATAAAAATTAAAAACCGACCAAATTAACCAATTTAACTGAATTAAAAAATCGATTATAACTAAAACAAAATAAATCTAATCGATTTAACCAAATTCACTCAATTTCGATCAATTTAATCGGTTCAAACCGACTTTTACTCACCCATAAATATATGGAGTAACAAATCATAAATACAAAAATTCCCATAATTAGGATTTTACTACCTCGCCCAACACCAAAATTAATACTAACATAATCATATATAGTTAAAAAAAAAAAAAGCGGTTGAATTGATTGTCACATGTTGCTTAATTTATGAATTTATATTTAAAGATAAATTTTGTAATAAATAAAAGCGACGGCTTCAATTTAGATATGGTGGAATAAAAGGGCAGCTATGCATTTTGATGAGTGTATTAAAGAAAGAATATTGTTGTACTTTACTGGTTTTTCCATTTTTTTAATGGTTAGGATTTAGCGGTTTTCCGAGTTATTGGGTATTCGAAATATAGTTATTATTATTTTTAGATAAAAATTTCATAAATTGAGATAAAAATTAAGTCTAACTCGATTTAATTAATTAATTAATTAATAATTAATTCGAGTAAGATTTGGTTAATTAGTTATATGACGCATTGCATTTATTTATGATATTTCACGTGTTAAAATATAACATACACACATAAGACTATAAGACTATAAACAAACAAAATTTTTAATGAGTTATTCGTGAACATGCTGAATTTTTATACGTTTATATTTATTTTTTAAACTTAATAAATGATTTTAAACATCATTTGTACGTTCATTTATTAAATGAACTGAACACGAATAGTTGTATATTCATTTATTTGCATTCATGAACAAATTTTATTCATTTATTATTTATTTATTGTTTATTTATAATAATACTAATAAAATTATATTTTTATCTTTTACCTTAATTTTATTTTAAGGTTTGTTTATATTTGTTTGGGTTCATTTAATGTTTGTTTGTTTAAATTTGTTTGGTTATAATTTATTTATTATTCATGAATATGTTCATTTATATATGTTTATGAACATATTTATTTAATGTTCATAAATAAATTCGTTTAACTTAATTGAACGTATATGAATAATTTATTATTTAAATAAATAAACATTAATGAATAAAATAATTTTTTTAATGATGAACACTTTTAAAAATAAAAGAACAAATATAAATATATATTTATTTATTCATATTCGATTCATTTACAATTTTATATATACGTATAAAATTTTTTTTATTAAAAACTTTAACTTTTATATATTTAAATAAAACAACAATATATATAATTAAAGAGAAAAAAATTTCATAACAATATGTAATTTATTAATAACTCAATATTTGATATTTACATTTATATATATAATTATTATATATATATAAAAAAAACAACCCATGCATCACATAGTCTACAAACTAATTCAAAAGTTAAATTCAGTCAAATATAATAAATTAGTAAAAGAAATTTGTGTTTGCTTTAAATTCTCATTTATTCTAAGATTTGTGCTTTGAATACTGCTACTACTACTTTAGGCTTTAGCCAACCATTTTCTTGCTTTTCTAGGTTTGGGACCATTTCAATATGACTAAGTTTCTTTGACGGAGATTTTGAATCGTAAGACTAACAAATACTTGAATTCTACATCAAACTGTCAAAGTGATATTTTAAACTCACCATTATTTCTTTTGTTTTTGGTTCAGTTTTACTCAACTTCCATTTCTTAGGTTAATATAAAGCTGGCATTTTTTAATAATAATTAAAAGCATTAATAATATTCATCCCATAAAATGTTATGATATTTAAAAATTTTAATTGTGAAATTTTTTTAGATGAACTAAATAAATAAAAATTGAATGTTGTAAATTAATTTTTTTTTAAATTAACATAACATTGATATTTTTTATAATAATTAAAAGAATTATAATTATCTCTAAAAAAATTAGCATTATTCAACCATAGAATATTATTTGATTTTCCATTTTTGTCTTGTCCCATTAAGTATGTTTATAAAATTAATATTTGATATATATCAATATAAAATTTTAATATAAATGGAGTTAAAAAAGTGGCAAGTGTCTTTTAAATGTATTTAAAGATAAAAAAATTAATTAAAAAATTAAAACATATATAATTTTTTACCTTATTTATTAATTAAAATTGTATTCTAATAATATATAAATACTAACTTATATTCATACGTCTTTATAATTTGTTTGAAATATAAAATTATAACAAGATAGAATAAGATTAAATTAAATAATGTTATTTTATCTTGTATTTAATATATGTAATAATTAGTTGAGGATTGAATCATTTTATATTAATAAGTAAGGCTATAAATGAATCGAATATGAATGAATGAATATATGTTTATGTTTATTCATTTATTTTTAAAGGTGTTTATGTTCATTAAAAAAATTATTTTATTCGTTCATATTCATTCGTTTAAATAATATGTTGTTCATGTTTGGTTCATGTTCGTGCAATTAAGTTATATGAGCTCATTTGTAAACATTAAATTAACATATTCACGAACATATATAAATGAATATATTTATAAACGATAAACAAAATATAATCAAATAAATTTAAATAAACAAATCTTAAACGAATATAAATGTATCTAAACAAATCTTAAAATAAGATTATGATAAAAGATAAAAATATAATTTTATTAGTATTATTATAAACAAATAGTAAACAAATAATAAACGAATTAATTTTAAATAAATAGTAATCGAGTTTATTTATAAACATAAATGAATGAAAAAATAATTATTTATATTTGATTCGTTTAATAAATGAACATATAAATTATATTTAAAATTATTTGTTAAATTTAATAAATAAATATACATAAATAAAAATTAAATATATTTTTGAGTGATTCATCAAAAGCTCTCTTCGCTTATACCCTTGCTAAAAAAATATTAATCATTCTTGCCACTTTATTTTAGATAAAAATTAAATATAATATATAATAATAATAATTTTATTTTATTTATCATCGTATGTATAAGGAATAAATTAAAGTTTGTCGTATAAGGACCGAGTAATTAAAATAGTGAAATGGCTTTTTTTTCATTGGATAAAAGTTAAAAAAGTACTAAAATTGCAAAATCATTCAGAAGAGGTGACGTTCTGTTTCTCACTGGTTTATTATTACTTTTGGCACTCTATGTCTTTCTCTCCAAAACCTTAGGATAACAATAGGATCGCATGAAACGGTATTTCGCACTCTGAAAAGTCGCGACGTTCTCTCTCCTTTTTTCTCTCCCCCTAGTTTCCCACTGCTCTGCTCTGCTCTGCTCTGCTATGCAGTTCCCACTCTCTCCATGAAGGAACCTCACCACTCTTTTTCTCCTCTCTAAATCTTCATCCTCAATCCAACCCATTTCCCCTGTTTTTTTGTTTCTTTCTTCACTTCCAAATCAACGAAGGAAACTTTTTTTTTTTTTAAGGAAAAAACCGACCAGTAATGGAGAAAAAGCAAGGTTTTTTCTCTGCTCTCAAAGAAGAAGTAGTTCGTGGGCTTTCACCTTCCCGCTCGAGGTCCAACAGCCCTGCAAGAGCACGTTCACCCTTGGCCAGTCTGTTACGGAGAAAGAAAAACAACCACAACAACTATGGAGGCGCTTACATGGCGCAACCGGAGCCCTTGATCGCGAGATCCGGCAGTCTGAGGCCAGTCGGGGAAGCGTTAGCTCCGCTCATGGAAGGTCCGGATCCAGACGGAGGCGAAGTCGGGGATTCAAAGCGGGTTGGTTCGGCGCTAGGACAATGGGTTAAGGGACAGTTATCAAGGACTCCTTCGGTTGCTTCGATGAGTTATAGAAGGTCTGATCTAAGGCTGTTGATTGGGGTATTGGGTGCGCCTTTGGCTCCAGTTCATGTTAGCTCCACTGACCCTTTGCCTCACTTGAGCATCAAAGATACTCCCATTGTTAGTCCCCTTTTCCTCCCTCTCCTTTTACTCCTTTAACTCATAGTATCACTTCATTTGAACTTCTGGGTTTTTTTTATTATGGTGGTTTGATTGGTAAATAAAGCACATAATGGTAGTTTGGTTGGATTTTGATTATTTATTTTTTCTAGTATTGCCTGAGTGCGGAAAAATGAGTTCTTTAGAGTGTTTCTTACGAGTTTCATTAGTTTAGATTTTGGACTAATTCGATGTTTTGCTTAGATTTGGTGACATTAATGGATTTTAATCATTTAGTATTTTATTTGTCTTGTTTAATGATTAATCATGTTCTTATATTTTCTTTAAGCTTCTACCACGGGTGAGGGGTGATAGATCCATTTAAATAAATCACGGTTTTGATTCCAACTGTTTGGCTAGCAAGAAACTTGAGAAAAAATACATGCAGAAATATAGTCTAATGTTCCTGGGTTTTAAATAGATACCAGCATTACTTTAGGACATAAAAAGATATAGTTAGAACTGCAGGGTGGAAACAGCGTGTTAGTGGCTGTAGGACTTTTTGAAAGTGTTTTCTTTGTGCAAATTATAGAAACAAAACTACTTGTGGGTGAAGTTTCCTATTTGATCATTATTAGGCTTTATTCCTTGCTGTGTCCTAGTGCTAAAATGCTGTGACTTTAGTGTTGCTTCCTGTTATATTTTTTCCTTTCATTGCTGTATGGTGCAGGAAACTTCCTCTGCTCAGTACATATTGCAGCAGTATACAGCTGCTTCTGGTGGGCAGAAGCTGCAAAACTCCATTCGGAATGCCTATGCAATGGGAAAGCTCAAAATGGTAGCATGTGAATATGAAACTGCTACAAGGACTGTTAAGAACCGTAATGGGTCTAGAGGTGCAGAGTCTGGTGGGTTTGTACTCTGGCAAATGAATCCGGACATGTGGTATGTTGAACTTGCGGTTGGGGGCTGCAAGGTTCATGCTGGTTGTAATGGGAAGCTTGTGTGGAGGCACACACCTTGGCTTGGTGCTCACACTGCAAAGGGGCCTGTTAGACCCTTGCGTCGTGCACTTCAGGTGAGGTTTCCTATGCTTATCAACTGCTGAACATTGTTTGTTCAGTTATACATTTAGCGTTCTTAGTTTTCTGATATTCTCTTTGGGGTTTATTATTCCTACTTCAGGGTCTTGATCCAAGAACTACAGCTAGTATGTTTGCTGATGCAAGATGCATAGGAGAGAAAAACATTAATGGTGAGGATTGCTTCATCCTTAAGCTCTGTACTGATCCTCAGACACTGAAGGCAAGGAGTGAAGGCCCTGCAGAGATTATTAGGCATGTTTTATTTGGCTACTTTAGTCAGAAGACTGGACTTCTTGTTCATATGGAAGATTCACATCTGACTCGCATCCAATCTAACGGTGGTGATGCTGTTTATTGGGAAACTACAATCAATTCATATCTTGACGATTACCGACCTGTTGAAGGTATCATGATAGCACATTCTGGGCATTCTGTTGTTACACTATTCAGGTTTGGGGAAGTTGCAATGAGCCATACAAAAACAAAGATGGAAGAAGCTTGGACAATTGAAGAGGTTGCCTTTAACATACCTGGCCTTTCTATTGATTGTTTTATCCCTCCTGGTGATTTGAGTTCTGGATCCATTGGCGAAACCTGTGAACTCCCTCAGGACGAAAGGGGAAAGAGTGCAATTGCTTTAGCAGCACATCATGCCAAAATAACCGCCCTAGAAAAGGCACAGGATAGCAGTGCTGACAGCATGATTTGGAGGATGGAAATCCGATGAACATCTTGGCAATTGTTCATATTGATAGCTAGCGCAGATGACTAACCCGTTAGAAGTTACAAGGTAGAAGTCATTTTTTTGACTTTGGTTTATACCTCTATTAATCTGTAAATAGAGCATAATTATTCACAGGTTCCGGTGGACCTGTATGAATCTTTATACTCTCATTCCGGAATCCAGCTACGGAGTTGGAGCTCAGTTTTCCAGTTAGGGATAGGGCTAATGGAGGTTGTTTTTTAGGTTGCTTGATGGTAGGTGGTGAAGCTGTCTCATTAACCTTTTTATAGGTACACTAACTCTAATGGTTAATGAATATAATGTGGCAGTCTAAAGAGTACTGCCGCTGATTAGCATGGGTTTGACAGTAAGGTCTAGTTTTTAATGTTACTGTTTCTGGATTTGTGATTCATTGTGATTGTTTGACTTAAAAGCTGTTTTGGGGTTTGGGAAGGAAAAGAGATTTTGCTGGATATGGTGATCATAAGCATGGTAAATGAGATGGAACTAACTATTTTTCTTACCTGCTGTAACAAAATGTGTTAATGACCTGAGTTCTGGTTGGGTGTATGGTTGCTTTTGTCCAGCGCTGCTGAAAGCAAAATGTAAACAGAAAACATCATGTTCATCAGCTATTTAATGCTCCTGATGGATACAGAGATCTGCATATTTCCTTCATCTTCCTTTCTTTCCTCTGAATTGTATTTTACTACCATCATCATCTTTGAATTAAGCGTTGAAACTTCTTTCTTTTCAAGTTGCGAATGGCCAAGCTTATTATAATAGTACCTAAATTAATCTCCCCTTAACGCTTTTTTGTGAATATTTAATGCTTCAAACCTTGACACGAGTATCTATTCTACGATATTCTTTACGTGGGTGGGGTCTCCAGCAATTGTCTTAGCTTTCTAAATCCCGCCATAGCCAGCTCTAATGCACCCATCTCTATGCGTGTGAACTTCCTTTATGTGGTGCTTGACAGCATCTAAGGTTGTCTCTGAAAGTTCAGTGCCATTGGGTGCCTGCTTCTCCAATCTTTTTCCCTTGACCGTGTCCCCAGGGAATTGGTTTAACAGGCTTCCTGGTGGGGTTTCCAAAACTTTAAAAATATTCATTTCGTTCGGACAAGTAAAAATTTTCAAGGTAAAAAGCCCCTTTTTTGCCCATAGGACCCAAAGTCATGAGCATTGGTTGGAAGTGGGGCTTGCATCGTTCAAAGCAAAGCTTGTGTGTGAAATTATCATTACAACTTAGCACGACGTGAAAGTTCCTCAAACCCCATGTGATTTCATTTCTTCATCCTCTTCTTTTTTGCTTTGCTTCCTTTGCTCTACTGTTTTAACAAGTATTTTCACCTGCTTTTGCAGACATTGTCTTTCCTTTCGCCATCTTTACTCTAATTTAGGTGCTGTTTATCTCATTTTACTGTTAAAAGTTTTTCTTTTGGGAGTGAAGGTTCCACCTCAACATGATGTTTCTGAAAGTCAAATTCTCGTTGATGAGTGCTTTTGCATTACTTTACTCCATTTGTCTTTTCCGGGAGCTTGATGCCTTCATTCATGATGACGTGAAATGGAAAGTTGAAATAGTGCATAAATGAAGCAACCGACCGTATAAGGGATTTCATTTCATCAATTCACGTCCAATTTTCAAAGATTCAAGATTCAGCATTTAAGTGCAGGCCAAAGTGACAAAGTCATGTGACAGTGCAATCCCAACAACCCTAACATTATCTTTTTGAAAGGAAAAGTCATAATTCCTGGCTAATTGGCCGCAAGAAAAAGAAATGGCCAGTCACCCTCCTAAAATTATTTGATTGATTCCCATCTTATAGGTACTCCCCTAAATAAAGGTAAAATATAATAGTCAACAGTCACGTGAATTATTAATATAATATTAAACTCCTAATTTTAGTGATTGGATTTAAATTTTGATGATTTCAAAGTAAAAAAAAACATACTATAATACCTTTGGTATTATTCTTTGGTGATTAACAGACTAAAACTGTTACAGAAATGGTAAAAACTAAAAACTTTTTGGTACTTTCCATTTGCAACTGTGAAACAAAGCAACAGAAGAAACAAAAAAAAAAAAAAAAAAAAAAAAACAGGATTTTGATCTCCAATCTACTTCTGTAAAATCCATTAACAACTCTTCCAAAGGAGGCCGCTGCACCAAACTTGCCATCCTCTTAATTGGGTCTAATTCTCAAGCTAGAATCAGCCCGTTAAAACAAAAATCTTACTCTTCGAATAATATTCCATTATTAAGATGAGAACATAATAAAATCATTGATGTAGACCATTCAGCATGTTAGTTGCAACAGCCAGTAAGGAAATCATCTGTGATTGGCTTGGAGTGTATATGAAAATCAATTGGCTTAACTACATTCTTGTCTGGAAAGGAAAATTTTGTTTGTAGCATGGAATGTTAGAGTAAGAATTATTCAGTAAGAACTAAGAAGAGCTAAGAAAATTAAAAAGAAAAAAATTTTCTTACAAATATTGGTGTAATGACAAAGAACTTTTTATATTATAAATTTTGATTGTTTTTAAACTTTTTTTTTTTTAACATTTGATAATTCATATATTTATAATTATTTATTTTATATTTAATATGTATAAAATATAAATATTATCATATCATAATTCGTGTGTACATATTAAATATAAAATATTTCTTTATCAAATTCATATACATTTTTTTATTAAAAATTTAAATCAAATCATTTTCATATTTTTTCTATCATTTTAATCATGTTAAAATTGTCACATTATAAATATGCATGTGCTTTTCGGGAAGGGTTTTCAGGGCCTGATGTTATTCATTACAGGAGGATGGAGATTAGACCGGTGGCTAAAAGTTGGTGTCTTGCTGGGCGGTCCTAACTCTTTTTAACTGTCTGGGAAGTGGGGTTCCAATGAGATTTGGTGATTCGGTAAGAACTAAGAAGAGCAAAAAAAAAAAAAAAAAAAAAAAAGACAATGGATTATACAATTCAATTCCTCAAATGACAGGATCGAATAATATCTGTCCTACAGGTCTGCTATGGGAAATGCAAGTTTAAAATAGATTAGTTAAGCTCACCTTCCTTCTCATTTCCTAGGGTGACCGGCTGATTTTGTTCAGATTCTAAGTTGACTTGAGGTTTTTTTTTAAGTAAAAAGGAGGCCAAACTCTGAGATAGGAAAAGAAACGACAGATGTTAAGAGATTTGAATTTTATATTTAGTGAATATCATATTTTAAAAATGACTATCTAAATCAATTGAGTTATTGGATTTGATTTTTGATATTAGAAATTTTCTATATCCATTGCCTAGCTATACTTCTTGACAAAAAGACATTCACTGAGATGGAGAATTTTGTTTGTAATCGGGGTACAGGCGTAAGCATTAACCAGGATATACACTCAAAGAATAGAATCTAAACTAAATATTTCAGCTCTTTGATTATGAAAAAATCAATATGGAAAATGAAAACCATCACAATTTCTAGGTTATTTCCTTTGACTTTTTGATTCCCTCATTTGTCTGTCTTACAGTTTCTTTTTTTTTTTTTAATTTTTCCCATAATCCTTCAGAAGAAGAAGCAGCAGCAGGATTTTAGGGAGTGTTGTTAAATTGCTTGGCATTGTTGAGCACTTCCAAAATACATGTGGGATATACAACATGCAATAAAGTTTACAATGCCAATTTATAACTTTTAGGGTGGAAAAGTGTCGGCAAAGGAAGTTTCCAGCCACCCACAAGTGCAAAGAATAGATGCATATTTATAAAAGTCAATAACCCACATTAATGGCAGTGGTGATGGTGGTCCTGCTGGAGCAATGAAGCAATACAGTACCCTAGAAAAATAGTTTCGCATTTATGTTTCTATATAGTCCGTAAGGCAATCCATACAACAAGCAAGAGCGTACCTCAGTAGTCTAAAATGGATAATCTTGTATTGTTTCGATCTTATTATGTGTATATGTGCACGTGCGTGTATGCTTATATTCGTGTTTATTTGTTTAACATATATTTGTTTTCTTTAGATGCAAGTAATTGCGATTCTCTCTTACATATTCATTGCTTCAATGGAGGAAAGGGGGAGTTAATGCTTCTGGTACTGATTTGTTAGAGAAGAGGATTAAAAAGGACAAGACGAGGGGCTTGGGCCATATGCCAATCTAGTTGTTGGCAGATTCATAATTTTTAGGAAGATGCCATGATTGATTGAAATTAATGGTTTTTTTATTTTCTCAATAATTGTTGAATGGGAGTATGGGACCGTTTTTGCCATTCTAGAAATCTTCTTGTTCTGAGATACGAGTAGTTTTAGAAATCTTCTTATGCGTTGAGCCTGGTACGAAGTTCTCAATTTCTTCATTGAGTCAGTAAATATCAAACAAAGCCCATGTTAAAAATCAAAGACAGCCCAATAAGCTCTCCATTTAAGCTACATATATGGAGGATACGATTGATGCGGCTTCAGCCCGGCCTCAAAGTCTAGTAGCCAAAGCGATTGATCCTGGTCAAATGATTGGGGTTGTTTCACATAAGTAATTAGACCCAAACTCTCATGGTCACTGAGCAATTGGGCCTAGGGCTATAAATTTAAAGTTATGGTTTGCCTTTCGACATTATAATCTTTTTTGTAAATAAATATTTATTTTTCTTTTATATATAAATATTTCAAAGCACAGATATTAAGAAACTTTTGAACGAATAAAAATGGATAATTTTTTATTAAAATTTTAAACTGTTATTTGAAATTAATTTTTATTTATTATAATTTTGAATTTTAATATTAAGATTAGTTATATAAACAAAATAGTTTTAATTATATTGAATTGTTATGATAAATTTTTTTTTTTTATGATAATTCTTTAGATAACTCTTATCTGGTTTAAATCATCCTCTTTGATTAAAATTCTATATTACCATTTTAAATTAATTTTTATTTATTATAAATTTAAAATAAGATTAGTTTTATAGATAGACAAGAGTTTTAATTATATTGAATTTATCCTTATCATATAATTTTTTTTTAGATAATAGCTCTTTAGATAACTTTGAATTGATTAAATTTCATCATTACCTTGTATCATAATATGCCTTAAACATGAATGCCACCACGTGATAGACATTTTTAGCGAAGCCAACAATATTCGAAATAGCACTCATGGTCACTTCACTTCTCCTTTGTCACAAATGTCCACCTATCCATTCGTGTTTGGTGAAAAAAGTAACTATATTAATTAACTCAACTTTGCAAGATAAATTTAATACTATACTATTCCCATGAATCTCAAGCTTTTGATTATGATGCGTAAAGGCAAACTTCTCAATCAAGATATCCCAACGAAAAAGGATCGATCCCATAAATTAATGACGAAGCTATTAGTTTAACTGTAATTATACAACCCTACTCTTGTTATGTAAATTCATGATGATTCTCAGTAATGTCTTTCCACATGCTCCACCACTCCAATTTCAAAAGTTAAAATGAAAAAAAAAAAAAGTTTAAGGAATGTGAAACTTAATTTAATTGATTTATGCAATTATTTTTAAAAAATAATATTTAATAAATTTGAAATTTAAATTTAAACATTTTTCTATTTCTTTCTTTATTCTCGGATTATAACTTTTTTTATATAAAGATAAAAGATCAATGGTTGAGTTTTAAGTTGCATAAGAAATCAATTTCATTTACCCTTTTCATGATTAAAAATTAGCTATCAAGATTTGTTTGTTTTTTCACATTGTAAATTGACGAAGCAACAAATGAATAAGATAGTGGTAATTAATGAAACGTGAGGCTACTAAAAAACAAATCAATCATGAGAGAAGGGGGTGGCCACCAACATATCCCATAACTCCCCTCAAAAAAATCTCCCTAACAATACAATATATGGTAATTATGAAATGTAAGCTCAAATACGCATACTAAAAAGCCCCGTCAGACAGAGACTGCTGCCAATAACATATGGAAAGGCCGAAAGTAAATAAGCAATACTGAAACGAAACATAGCTAAGACATGAACGGAGAGACTAGCCTAAAGCATCAAACTGAGTAGAGCCATGCTCCCCACCATACTTTTTATGGACCACATTTTCCCTACTCCACTCTGCAATCAAAGTTAAAACAAACAAGAATTAATTAATAATACTAATAGTTTCCGCCGCATACAAAACAAGCCCAAAAGATATTGATGATCCATTAAAAGTGGAAAATCATAATTACCATGAAATTATAATGAAATTTTACTGGTATGATTTAATTGCGATGACAAAATCATAATTGAAAATTGTTTTATTAATAAAAAATCATACTTATTTAATTAATATATTTAAAATAAAATTTATTTATTCTCGAACTGAATTTATGATATATAACTGCTGACACCGGGGACAATAGGTCAGGTCAGACCAACGAAATAAACTGAAAGGCTAGGTGCAGCTATGGCCCAAGCGGTTCCTCCTAGGCTAAACAAAGCTCTTTCGGATTCTGCGCCTCAAACCACAGGCTGACAAGCGCAATTTTATTCAATTTTTTGCAGTCGTCCTTTTGCTACATGTCACGACGCCAATGGGTACCTAATGTTTTGTTCGACCCTGGTTGCTAGTTTCTTAGGCACAGAGATCCAATGATCTGTCTCACACTGATGCTTGAGCTCAGGAAGCATGAAAATCTAACAAAAATTTACGTGCTTTTAATGTTGGTCAGAGATCAGAGCCTAGACTTCCTTATTTTATCACTAATCAGATCTTCCTGGAGCTTGATCTCTCACCAGATCTTGCTCCATACAAGAAAAAGTCCAGACAACAAGACACGATAACTAGAAAAACTGTCCACATCGATCCTAGTTCACGTTACAACTTATTAGAACTTAGAACACTATATTTTTGCTACAACACAATTCATGCATCCTTAAAATTTAAACCCCCTCAAAAGTCTATTACCCCAAAACAAATCAGCTAAAAAGCTTCAAGAAATTGACTAACTGGGTGCAATGAGGGTAAGTGGCATGTACGACTAGAATAAATACAGATTAGTACTAGCCTACTAGGTGGAAATAAGTAGAAAAAGGAAGATATATGATAGACAAAGAGAAAATATACCACATCAGTTCCAGCTGGGCCTGGTGAAGAAGCTCCGAGGCTAGGAGCAGGGGCCTCAGTTGGTGGAGCAGGTGGGCTTGAGGTCAAGGGTGATGGCGCTGGAGACTTAGCTTTCTTCTTGCTAGGTGCGGGAGCAGGAACTGTGGATGGAGGAGAAGCCAAAGGAGCTGGTGGTGGGGTTGCTGGAGGAGGAGTAGCAGGAGGAGGAGAAGCAGGTGGTGGAGTGGCCTGAGGAGGAGAAGCCGGAGGAGGAGTGGCCGGAGGTGGAGTAGCCGGGGGAGGAGAAGCCGGTGGTGGAGTTGCTGGAGGAGGAGAGCTAGGTGGAGGGGTTGAAACTGGTGGTGGAGAAGCCGTCACTGGAGGTGGTGATGAAGCAGGAGGAGGAGTAGTTGAAGCCGGTGGTGGAGTGGCGGTGGGTGTAGGCGGTGGCTGAGTAGTCGGCGGGGTAGAAGCTGGTGGCGTCGGAGGCGCCGGCGTGGATGTAGGAGGATTTTTAGGAACTTGGCCTAAAACCCCAGCCACAGCAATGCAAAACAAAGCTGATTGAAATAAAATTTTATTATTAAGCATCATGTTGAAGCGACGGTAAACTTTATCCTGCGCACCCTCTCTGCTTAAACTACGCACCACCCTTATGCAAAAGGAACGAGGGAGGGATATATAGGACTGAAAAGCGAGTGTGACAGAGGGAATAGAAGGTAGTATTTATATAGAAATGAAATAATTCTGTCTGGATAATCATCCAAATATTAATAATAATCCATCCAAATAATAATAATAATCCAACAAAATTATTATTATTATTATTATTATATAATTTAGAACACATTTGTTTTCAACAAAGCTTTTCCTCGGAAGGATTAGAAGAACTTTTTATCCCTCAGTACCGGTAAAGGTTTTCTTAGATTTGATTATTAGTGATTGTATTCATTTTATTTTAAATATATATAAAATATGAAAAAAAAATCATATTATAATTCATATAAATACGTTAAATATAAAATATTTTTTTAATTTAATTTATTTTTATCAAAATTTAAAATAATTATACTTTCGTACGTTAAAAAGGTTAAAAGCAAATAAAAAATCGGTTAGGGGAGATGTGGGGCTTGATTATTATGTGGTTTTGGTGATTTTAAATGATGCGTTAGTTACTCTTACTTATGTTAAAAAAAAAAAAAAAAACAGTGTAGTGGGTTTGTGTAGGTGAAAAATTTTGTCCAAGGTTGGTCCTTCAAAATTGAGATGTTGTTGTCGTTTTAATATAGTACTTCATGATCCTCAAGGTATATCAACTTCCAATCATGCAATAGTTTTTACTTCGGTTCTGTTGGAAAGTTTCTAATTGAAGCATGGTGTGTTCTTACAGAAACAAAAATTGAAGGAAGCCTTAGAATTTAGTATCTATAAGCTTTCATTTTCTTTTTCCATGTCACAAATTGATATAGCTAATTCACATGTGTATTGTTGTTTCTGTTATAAACATTGACAATTATAAACGTTTAATTATCTTCGGTTGGTTAAGAATTTCGACAAAAGCATATATATATAATTTTGTGCTGAAAGGGGCGTGCTCCATATAACATGAACCGGATCATTTTATGGCAAACTGGCAAATGTAATTTGTACGTCAAGTTATAAGTTATGGGGGAAAAATCATCGAGATTTGGTTGGTATGTTGGAGCACCTGCACCGCCTCAATTCGTAGGCCCAGATGCGCTGTCACGCCATGATATGTGCTTTTGGACCAAAGATGTTCATGTTCTTTGTTGTTCAACATCGATCATGATTATTACTAACAATATCTTTATATTGCTATATTTTTCATGCCAATATCGAATTTTATTATTTTACTTTTAATTTCGTTATTTATTTTTGGATAAAATGTACTTGATTTGCAATACTTCGCTAATAAAAGTGATAAATACTAAGATAAAATAAAATTGAAGTATAGCTTTAAAATTTCAATGTTAATCTACAATATAATGAGAAATTTGACAATAATCTCTTTTGAACGAAAAAACTTTTTGGTCATTCATTATTATTATTATTATTTATATTTGAGATTATTAAAAATTAAATTTTAATTATTAAAATTAGGAGTGTAACATTTTATCATCAAATTACAAGATTGGTGATTTTCACATTTATTATTTGCTTCTTCATTTTCATTCAAATAAAACGATTAACCAATTAAATGTAATTTTTCATGTTAAAATTAAACAATCAAACACTTAAAAATGTCCAAAATTTCAATATCAGAAGGAAATCCATGTCAAATAAACTAATGAAAGGAGAGAGACAAACGAATTGAGTTCCGACTATAACTGCTGCAATTAAGAAAAACCTTAATTTTTGGGAGGGTCCTAATCTCTAACGGAGATGATTAACTTGGTTTCACGTGTCCCTTTGGAATTGGTGGCCAAATATTGCACAAAAAAGTTGTATAGGTACGAGAGAAGTGGCTTAATTACTTGATTGGTTAAATTAGTTAAAGTTTGTCATTCTTTATTAATAGATTTTGGGTTTAAATTTTATCGGTGATTGTGTATTGAGATTATTTTAAATACATGATTTATAATCATTTATTTTAGATTAATGGATATGACACATCTTATCTTGACCTGATAAATTAAAAATTTATTTACTTTAAATTTTTTGTGAAAAAAAGAAAGAGAGAGAGACGTGGCTTAATTTTGCTTATAGATAAATCCAGTTTTAACATTTCCCCTAACTCCTTCAATTTAGCCACTGCTTTAATTTGCATGATCATCAGTGCGGATTTTGATCTTAATTGATCGGTCCCATTCGGTTTTTGACATCTCTTTCTCCCTCATGATTGCTTTAACATGGTCCCTTCCTTCTTACCTTGGATACTCTTATCTCTGCTTAGCTTGATTTAATCTAGTAGAGAAATAATAACACTGAAAGAGGTTTCTCATCTATGTTCCTAAATCTAATTGGCTATTGTTTCTTTAATTTGTCACCTAACATTTTAAAGAAGCTTTGTGCACGTCATACAATTCATCAGCACAACTCTTTAAGGTTTCATTCAAAGATGTACTATTGAACTTTGCACATTGCATGTGATAGTATTATGCCACTAGTAGGTGCATGGGGTTTCCATTCTTCATGTCTCGTTGAAATATGAATAGTACATAAGTAACCTTTTACATCATATGTTATATTTGAATTTAAAATTTAATTTAGTTAGTTCATATAATTATTTTTAAGATATGATATTCAATAATTAAATTTTAATATCTATAACTTCTTCTTTTATGTTTAAATTATAATTTTTTATAAGAAAGAAAAATTAGTTACGAGTAGTGCATAGATTTGGAAACTTAATATTAAAAAAATTTAAAAAAAAAGAGCTGAAATTAAAGTGGTCCATATATAAGCAACTTAAAGTACAAGGGACTGAAGGGAGAGGTACCTTCGGTTTAACGATCATTATCTCCAAATCTAAAGTGATGCAACTGGTTAGCGTCCTCCTGTTGGCCCATACGCTTCTTTCCGTACAGGATACAAATTGATCTCCTCTTTCACCCATGAAATGCAGCAGACTTTTATGCCATTTGATTTTTCCAACTGCAAAAGCATGTGGCTTAATTAATCAAAACTACTGATGTCAATTAAATGTAACAACCTCAAACTGGATCTCAGACGTCTGTTTCTCTGCTCCGAGTTTGGGTTTTAGTTAGAACAGAATTGGGCTTCGTCCCTTTAGGGTCCAAGGTTAGCTTCGTAACTTAAAATATATAATTTAAGGCGAGCTCCCTTGGTTTTTCGCTTTTCCCTTTTTTTTTTTTTTTTTTCCTCTTTAAACTATATTACCTAAAACGGGTTCCTGTGTTTGGTTCTTGATAATGTATAAGGGTTTTGAATGGGTTTTACTTTCATCCCAATTTGTTGTTATTGTGAATGCATATCTTGGCTTTCGCATTTCTTTTATATGGGTTTTGTCTTTTGAATAAACCCTTTTCTGTTTTTGATGCTGCTGGTTGGTTGATGCTCTTTTCTCTTCTATACAGATATTAGACTGAGAGGCGTTCTATTGGGTTCTTACTTTCATTTGGTTGTTTGGGAACTGTGGGTTTCGTATATGAGTTTCTATATTTAAAGTTGATGAAAATAACTATCCAATTTCTTTGATTACAACTCACTGTGGGCTTGGTTGTTATGAGTTATCTTGAGTAGGTGAGGTTTTATTAATGGCTAATGCCACTGAATGTGTGGGATATTTATTATGTTGGCGAAGGACTTTCAGTTAGTTCTCTTGGATAAAAGAGAGAGAAAGGTTTAGATGAAGATTTTTAAGTGGAGTTCATAAACTTTCTTTTTAAAAATGATTAAATGAAAATTAAAATTGAAAATTAAAATCAAATAGATTGAAAGGTTTTGTTATGTAGGTATACAAAATTTGAAAAGAATTTAATAAATTTTAATATATTTTTTAGGTAGACATTTATAGTAAACTTTTAACATAATTTTTATTGTTGAATAAAAATAGATTAAATTTGAATTATAAATAATATTTTAAATAATTTTTAATATATTATTGATAATTTCATTTAACTTTATCAATCTATCGATCTAAATTTTTTATTCAAGTTTTTATTGAATTATTTTTTGTTAGAAACTTTACCAACTTCATTTAAAAAATTTTCGTTTAAGTTTTGCCCTGAAAGAAAAGCTTTAAGCCTAGAAAACGAATACCTTGACAAGAGTCAATGCTGTTGCCTGCCTTTGGGGCATTCATCAAAATGACCTATTAAAGTTATGCAAGGTTTTATGCTGTTTGAGTTTGGACTACTGCCAAGAAGCCTTTATTGGAAGCTGATGGCTCAAATACTTATTTCTATGTAAGAAATGTACCACGTATGATTTGAGAGACATTTGAATTTGTAATTGAGCTGATCTCTACTAGATAACTTTGTGAGTGATGCATGTAACTATGTTTGTGAACAAAAGTTATCTTGAACTCTAGTTTCCAGGGTTTGAACTTCATGTTTCTTTGTCCTCCGTTCATTGCTGTAGAAATTGAATTCATACTCATGCTCCTAATCTTTTATCATATTACCAATATAAACCTGTAACTAACTTGGTTCTTTCTGGGCTTCTTGACATTTCTTTAGGACCATGAAAACAAGAAAATTATAAATTGTGATGAGAAGCTGAAGAAGATATTTGGAGGGAAAGATCGGGTCGGATTTCTTGAAATTGTTGGGTTGATTATTCCTCACTTTCTTTGAAGGATCCTAGAGAGAGAGTCAGTTTGCAAAATAGGAAACCACCTATGTTTATGGGGCCTATCTCTGTTGAGGATACTGAGGAAAACCATGCTCTTTGCGGTACAGAAGTACATTATTAAGGGTTTTGTTTCTGGATTTACAAATACGTAGGCTTTTTAATGCAAATATTACTGGTGCCTTGCCTTCTAGCTTATGCATGTTCTTGATCATTCTAAGATTTTGGAATTTTTCTAGTTATTTATAAATGGCTTCTCTTCCAAAATTTGTACTAAACAGGTTATCACCAAAATGGTAACAATCTTTGTCTTCGGGGGATGGTATGTTGTTTTTAAGAAATTTCGGATATTATTATTACTTTTTTGGGAAACTCTCGCTATGATTATTATTCTAA